GTGCCACCGCCGGCGTCCACCTGCACCGCGCGAACACCGTGCCCGGAGCGTTGTGCGGTGAGCGGTTGGCGTACGACGGTGCGGGTCGGAGGGACGCGCGCGCGACACGCCGGGGGCCGGGTGGTTTGCGCAAGCGGCACCGCCACGGCGAAAGCAGGGAGCGCCACAGCCTCGTAGCAGCAGCAGCTTCGGCCGCCGTGGGAGGGTGCATCCGTATGGGTTCCGGCGTGCGCTAGCGTCAGCGGTGGTAGTCGACCGACGGCAACGACGCGGAGCGGACATCGCGCGCAGTACTTAATCATTTCAAACCGCGCGGCGTCATTCGCAACCCCGTACCCTCCTCACCCGCACCTCACCGCCACCCGGCAACGTGTCAGTGTCTGGCGCGCGCGATCGCGAGAAACCGCCGTCGTCGTCATCGTCGTCGTCGTCTCGTGCGACCGCACTGCACCCGGCACCGTGTATATCGGCTGCCCGTCCCGCGTTCATAGAAATTCATTATACGCATCACTTTTCACCGTCGGACATATACGCACCGCTTAGACATACGGAGACGGCGACGGCCATGGGATCGCCGGACGCAGGTCTCGCGGTCAAACGCTGTTGCGTCCGTCTGTCGCCGTCGAGCCGCTGTCGTCGGCGTCGCGGCCACTGCCCGGCGACTCGGCACTGCAGTGCAGGGCGCGCGCAACTTGAAGCGGCGTGCGTCCACTGCGCGTCCGTACGACACGTCTTCGTCGTCGTCGTCACCGCGTTTGCAGGGCTGATTGAAGACGAGATCTCGCGTTTTGCGCGCCCCTCGCGTTACCACACGCGCGATGAACGCCGTCGTCTCACGTCCACCGCCGCCGCCGCGCGGACCGGTTTGAGCGCCGCGATATACACTGACTGCAAACGCGACCACCGGACCAGCACACGCACCGGCCACAGCCGTCCAGCGGACGAGACCGTCGCGTGCGTTTCGAGCGGTTTGCGTAGTCCGATGCGAGCACACGGGCTCTAAGGTAGTACCTACGACATTGTCGTATGTTATTTTAATGTTAAATCGCACACGTACTCTGTGCTGCATGATAAACTGCTATAACTATAGTACAGTAGGTACCTGTAAAGGTGTGCTGTTTACCCCCGTCGCCGTCTGTCGTATTATTAAAACAGCGAGCGAAAACTCGAAAAAAACAAAACGATCTCGTATCGGATTTTTCGGTTATGACGATCACACACATATACGGCACGACGACGACGACGGACCAATAACATAACGAAAGAATATCGTTGTGACGATAATATAGTGTTGTGGCACGTGCGATCATCACATATCCTATAATAATAAATATAATATAATGTATATAATATTATGTTAAATTATGTGCCCACCGCACAAACATTATAAACCACGGGCATAGGCGCGATATAAACACACCGTTTAATCGTAAATACTACTGCTGTTTTTGTTTTTATTCTCTAGGTCGTTGTTACTGTACTACTGCAGGTGATTTTCTATTGATAGACAGACATTATGATTGATATATCATCGAGGTAATTTGACTTTTTTTAAACGTAGTTATATGTAAGAGTCATCGAAAAATCAAAATTCAAAACCGCTATATAGTTTGTATCGAAAATTACTTTCTGTGTGTATGTGTGTGTGTGTGTGTGTTGTAATAGTGATGGCGAGAATGGGTTTCATGTGTTGCGTACCGTTAGCGACCCTCGAGAAAAAAAAACAACAACCATTAATTGCGCCTATGACCAGAGGTTTAACCCACGACGTTTATTCGTTTTTGTTTTTTTTTTTTGTTTATTGCACAGATACATCGTTGTGTAGATTCATAAATAATAATAATCGGAGGCCGTGGAAACGCCGAATCCGTCGAAAAATATGTCGATGGCGGTGATTTCGGAGCAGCCCGCAACGGTCAACGGACGACGAGTCAAAATTAATCAAACGGCCAGGGCGGTGCGAAAGAGTCACGATAACCATCACGGGAGATGTGGCACCGGACCATTTGTCGGCGGCGATAGCGATCGTGACAGCCGCTGTCAACGGGACGTTGACGGTGACGATCGGACGTCGGCCGGACTAAAAATAACGAGCTTGGGTGACGGCGACGTCCACTATTTGGAACGGCCCGTTTGGGTGACGCGCGACTGCGGCGAAAAGCCGGAAAACGCTGAAGCGCCCGCCGATTGGACGAAACACCGAACGGGCGGCGGCGACGCCGCGGATTCGGACATCGACGCGACGGTCGACGGTGCCGCAGACGGTTACCATCCGGTCCGGCGACGACTTGTCGCGGACTCCGAAAGCGGCGGCGGCGGCGGTGACACCGCCACAGTTGCAGCAGCGGACGACGTGTCACCCGAACACCGACAACGGCGGCAGTTGCACGACCGCAAACAGCAGTGGTTCGGCAATTGTTGGCGGCCGAAACCGTCGTCTGCGGTCACCGACGTCGTCCACCAGCATCACCACCGCCGAGTGCACCGGCACCGTCACCATCACACGCACCATTTGCACATGTGGACGAGTAGTTGCTGCTGGTGGCTGTTGGTGTTCTACGCGGTGGTCGTGGTCGTCGCGTCGTTCGCCCGAGCTGCGCATTCCGCCAAAGACGGTAAATATATAATAACATTTATCATATTATAATTTATAACCGCATACTCGGTATAATGCGTATACCCTTTATGGCGGTATGCTTATACCGGTGGCTGTAAATAAGATCTGTATGCGTATCGGAGGAAATCGGATATTGTTTTTGGTAAGAAGGGGTGTGGTGGGTCACCAATTTATCGTTGAACAACTTTATTGTTGTTAAAATTGCACTATAGATTACGTTACAAACGTCCTTCAGAACTATTCTTACAGCATATATCGTAAATACATGTTAGCGATTTTATTTTACGATGGTTTTAAGTTCAAATTGTCTGCATTCTTAGCTCAAAATTGTTTTTTTTTTTTTTCTACTTTGTATACCTATAACGACCTATTGAATTCAATGAATTCAAACCGACTATATGACAGGAGCAAAGTCCTTCGATTTTTTATAGTTTATTTTTAAAACAAAGACGGTCGGTTGCCATTTACAAAGCACTTCAAAGAAAATAAGGAATTTTTTTTAGTCATAATATTTGCTGATATTAATAAGAAAATATTCTAAGTAGATACCTATACAGTATTTTTCTATCGATATTTTGACCAATATTTATAAATACAAATATTATAATAACTTTTTTTATTTACTTTTTGGAGATTTAAATGATTTGAGAGGGGCTATTGTTAATATTTCATGATTTTTACTTCATATTATTCTTACCTGTACGTCATATTATGATACTTTATAGCACATAAAATCAGTGCTCCAATTATATTTAATTTTTGGACCAACATTTTTAATCGCTTCGTCAACGCTAGTATTTAAAAAAACAAGAGGTGGGCAGTTAGGGATATACTATAGTTAATTATTATTTTTTTTTATTATTTAACTCAAGCCTAAAGCCATGATTTTGTTGTTGTTGTTGTTTTTGTTGTTGTTGTTGTAATTTTAATTTATAGATAGTTCAAACATGAAATTAATTTCGATTATAAAAAATTCCCATGTATAGTATTCGAAGGGTAACCTTAATCTCCACTGGTAATGTATAGTATACATTATAATATAAATTTTAACAATATCACATAAATCTGCGCAATATTTCGTTATTGTTTTTATGTGATAGTATCACTATTCACTATAATAAGTGTAATAATACCCTTCCCTCCGCATGATAGCTTTCCATTTTCACGTGTCGTAAACATTTGTTGAGCTTGACTGTTACAATAAAAAATAAGCCAGAAATCTATAAAATTGAATTGGTTAAGGGTGTTGAAATGGCGCTGAGTTAACCATATAAAAGTTTAAATATGCTACACTTAACATTTTGTTTACGAATTTTAGTATAATATATTTTGACATTTTAATATTCTTAAAAATTATTGACCGTATAAAATAGTAAACAATAATTTATAAGTAATATTGAATTAATATTAAACAGTACATGATATTTGTTTTATAATTTTTTAACGATGCTGATATGTTAGGTTCTTATGCATTAGATTATTGTGATATATTAAATAATAATTTTAATGATTCCCTTGTTAAAACATTAAAGAAGGTAGAACAGTGGTTTAATGATTCCATAATATCTGACCATTGTAATTGATTACGTTCAGGTACCGTGACATTTTTTTATCATTACAGCCATCATAAATACCAATAATACAAATCCTGTATGGGATAATTTATCATTGTAGTGTTAACCGATTGTTAAATTATAAAGTTATAAGTACTAAAGGACTAAAGCGATTAACTACCTATACACACCAGTCTCGAAATTAACTAAGTAATACCATGGAAAAAAAAAACAATAATCGAATGCAATACTTCTTAAACAATAGTTTATTTAAATTTATATTGCGGCTAGTGGCTAATTATATTAAGAACAAATTAATTGAATAAAAAACTTACCTCCATTTTTAGCCATATAATCTAATTATCAGATATTTAATTTATCTCTGAATGAAAGATTTTTGTTTTTTTTTTCAGTTAGTCAGAAAACCTATTTATTTTCATGAAGTAAAGATAATTGACAAAATAATTCACATACTAAATATTATGATTTAATATAAGATAACTGGATAGAGCAAATTTTGATTTTAATTAAATCATCATTTGGCCTCTAGCTGTACGTGACCAAATGTTCATTTAAAATTATCCAACTTAAAGTTAATATTTTATTAAATAATAGTGAAAATACATTTATAGCGTAGAATCAGCATTAAAATCTACACTAAATTTAAGATTAAATAAAGCAAGATAGTTACGTATTTCAGATTTCTAAAAACGAAACTATAAATAAGTATATTTAAGGACAGACATTATAAATGAAAAATGCTCACTAAAATTATCTCGCTGCTTTTAATTTTACAATGAAGTGTGTTGTTATCTCATTTTTGGAGCAATGAATTGTTTCACGTAAAATCTGTATGTAGATTAAAAAATAAATATATACTTTACCTACTTTAATAAAGATTATTTGTTGATTTAGATATTCAACCCAAATATTTATAATTGTTTTCTAATTCTTTGAGATTTTTTTGCATAAAACTGTTTTACTGTTATGCGATCATAATTATTGTGTAAATAAATTTGTTTAAACTGCAAAATTATTTTATTTTATTTCTACATTTTTTTGAAGACTTGATATTTTAAACAAAGTTAATCTAATTATTTATTATTCCTGCTATAATAGTTATTTTTAAAGAACTCTAAACACATAAAACAATACTTGAATCTATATTAAATTGAGCTAAGATTGAAAACCTTTTTTTTTTATATGAAATGATTTATATTTCTTTTAAATTTATAATAACAATAACACAGTTACAAACATCATTGTATATCGAATATCAAGTACTGATATGTAAGGAGAGTGTTAAATATGTTGGGACTTTTGTATAATCATTATAACTGTATGTGACATACATGTCAGCGATTTATAAAAATATAAAAAGTAATGGCTCAATTAAAGCAGTGTTTTATTTGACTTGTCAAAATGTTTATTTTAAACATTTTAAATTCAACAAATAGGATTATTATTTTAATAACATTTGATACTAAATTTATAATTGAAATATTTGAAAAAAATTAATTTTATTTCGGATTTTAGTGGTGTCGAGTTTTATTGTTTTAGAGGATTATAATAATTATATTGGTATGTAACCATTTTAATTAAGTAAATATTACAGTATTTCATTAATTTAATTTTAATTTTTTCATTAATGGAAAACAAACATAGGTTCCACCATTGCAAAATAATTCTGCTATATAACACAATAGTTAGTTAATCTATTAATTACGCTAATTTTATTTTAAGATGTAAATATAAGGAACTTTAGGTCAAGCTACTGTTTTTAATATCAAAAAATTGCTAACTAGCAACTCACGAAAGTATCTAGAAAATATGAACTTTTCTTACATAAATTACAATTATTAGTAATTTTATATAATATTATATTTATTATTTTATTTTAAATCTAATATGAATCGTATTAGATGCAATCGGTAGCAGATTAATTATTTTTCAAGAATAATATTTAAAGATTAACGAGAATATATAATGGAATAATAATACCACTTTTCTTTCAAAAATATATTTTAAAAATAATAGTTAACTTATTATAAACAAAAATACTTCATAATTATAAAAACATAGGATATTTATTGATTTTAATTAGGTAAATAAGTCATCATATATGGCAGTGTTATTATTGTATTGTATTTATCATATTTGTTATATTTAATAAAAAAATTTGGTAATATGGTAGAATATTTAATTTTTTAAAGTTAAACATTAGCTTGAAAATGTTAAATAATAAATTAATTAAAAAAATCAGTACACATCCACTATAATTAATAAATGTGCTTAAATGTTCATAAAACTTCACAATAACCATTTACATATTTTGAATTATCGATTATATCATTTATGTAAGTATTTCGATTTTATATTATAAATACAAATGGTATTTTACATTTTTAAAATCGAAAAATCAACATTTCTGTTGTCAAACCTCTTTTCAATAGTTTTTTGTTTGTTATTAATCATTAACGTACTTCATATTTTAAAGTGCAAATTTTACTAAAAAATTATGTTATTTTATTGAATCTATTCAATTAATTTAAAAAAATATTTAATTACACTAAAGATAAATTATTATGATATACATATATATTATATATATATTATTAATATGTTGTTTTTACTAAGTGCCAAAGTAGGTTAAATATTCATTATTGATTTTATCAAATACTTTTATCGAAGTATTAATAACTTAAAATTAATGTTAGAAATTATAAATTATACTCGTGCATATAAAAATTACAAATTACTAATGTTTAGTTATTTAATTTTAGTCTAATATAAAACAAGTAAAGATAATTTCTAAAAATTATTTATTTTTTTTTTTTATTATTTAATTGCCTTTATTGATGTCACTGTTTGGTTAAATTCTTGAATTCAAACAGTGTAATGGATTTGATATGTCTGTATTCACTATGTAGATATAGTCAGTACAATATTATAAATGTTAAAATTTACTAGCTCTGAAAGTTGAAACACATTGAGATCGAGAAATTAAAAAAAACAACAAATAATTGCAATTTGAACACATTTTAAAAAACTATTGAAATTGTATGGTACTTAAACTTCAAACTAATTTATAAATGGTAGCAGAAATATTTGTATTAGGTGTAAATATTTACACCTGTTAAATATTTAAACTTAACAAAAAAAAGTAATGCGTGATGGAAACAAATTATTGATTTTTTTTTTTACCAATTCGTTAGATATGAGTACTAAAACAAGTAATAATAACAATGCAAACTTTTAAATTATTGATCGGATATATTTAAGTACTTATTTACATTGAATTACTCAGAAAAAAAACTAGTTTACTTATGAATTTAATTGTTTGAGTAGGTACTTACTATCTGTATAATAATAATAATATAAACGCTTTTACTAAAAATTTAACTGACGTCTTTGAGTGGTTATTACAGGTTCTAACTTATTACAATAACATTAGTGACAATTATTATTGTTGTAATTTATGTATAATCGAATTAAATTTTGTGGACTGGTCGGCACCGGACCTTAAGGGATAGATACAAATAAAACACTCTTTCTTTTTTAAACCATCTAAAAAAGGAAAGAAATAGGCGTTCTTAAAGCGTTTTATATCCATCTTATTTAGTAATGTTATTTTTCTCGCAAGAAGCGTACGTCTCGGATAAAAGGGTCGGTAAATCATCAGGCTTGATACAGGCAAACGGGCTTCGGGCGTCCGGTCAGGCATCCCGTTTGTCGCACCCCTCCTCCCACTACACTGTCACAGTTATAGCAACTACTTTTTTTTTAAACGATGGCGTTGGTGAGTTTTTGTTCCGTTTTCATCGTAGAGATAGGGAGAGAAAACATTTTTAAAATTTTGTTTCCATACATTAAAAAAAAAAAAAAGAAGAAAATACAAGAGAATTATATTTCAACTTTCAAGTATTGCGTAAAAACTAGAGCATATAATTGTATCATGTTAAAACAAATGTCTGTATAAAATAAAACATAACATACACCGAATGACTCCGTTAACTTAATTTAAATGAATAATATTAAGTACTATTGTAGTTTTTTAGATAGTTAATAACTATTATCCATCTATAAAATAATTCAAGTATGTTTAAATTTAACAAATATGCACAGATGTAAAATAATAATATACCATTTCCTATTTTTTAGTATGTTGTAAATAGAAATTTTTCGAACATTATTACTTACTAGGTATAATAAAAATATGTTGTATTCGTGGACTTATGGTTATGAAATATAATATTAAGTTCTTGGATATTAAAAAAACATCGCGAGTAACTCATGTGTAGTAGATATAATGGCTCTACTCTACTGTGGGTTGTGGGTAAGTCACTAAGGCGAAAATGTTGGAAATGTTGATGTAAATTCAATTTAAAATTATTATATTGTGAAAATTAGTTATAATTCATCACATTCAATCTGTTAGATAATGTATTTAAAAAAATAATAAATAATGTTTTAGAATATTACGTAGAAACTAAAATGCAATTTAAAAAGAATTTATTTATTAAAAGTACAGATAGATAGCAATGATGATAAACAACTAAAATATTATTTTAATAATTGTATTTTAAATTAACATCAAGAAAGAATATGATAAATATTTAGGGAAGATACTCGGCTGTATAGTAAATATGGAGTGTATCTCGTTTTGAGTAGGTCAATAAAACTTGTATATTAAGTTAAATGTTAAATCATTACATACGAATAACTATTCTAAGCAAAAACGGTGTAAATACAGGTCTGTGGTAAAAATAGCTAAAAATTTAGTTAAATATTCTGATAATTTAATTATTTATATTAAATAATAACACAAGTAGTGACGAAAAGTTTCTATAACTCTTATGAGTATAATTTTATGAACTATACAAAATAAAATTTTAATATAGTTTTCATTTAAATATACCCAATTTCATTAAATGATGAATTTTAATGTCTATGAAAAAAATTATTTTATAAATTTTGGAGATTTTCAGGTTAATAATAGAATAGCTTTTGAGGGACTTTGAATTATATCTTCAAGCTTTAACTATTAAAATTAAGTATTGTATACAGTTTTAACTTCAAAATAATTCATACATTTTTCTTATTTTGACGAAATTTTTCAAGGGTCGAATTTAAATTTTTATAAAAAAAAAAAAAAAAATATGATTATGTATTTTCAATACTTTTTAATTTCTGTACAAATAATGTATTAAAATGTTAAAAGTTTTTTTATTCACAGTCAAAATTTTATCATACTTAAATTAAAAAAAAAAAACTACGAAAACTTTAAATTTTTATATGTCAAAAAATATTTCAAAAGAAATGTAATATTTTTAAGATTATTGCATGTCTAGAAAATGCTAATGTAAATATTTGTTCACATTTTTAAGTCTACTCATAATCTAAAGTAACAACAAAGTAATTAAGTTAAAACAATATTAAGCATAGCAGAAAGATGGTTTTACAAGATAAAAAATCTTACGGTTAATGGTGCATGTCTTAAATGAACAAAAATTACTTAAAATAGAATAAGGAATTCATTTATATATTATTCATTTCGTTATATTCGCTAAATTATTCACAATATTATATACAATTGTATATCCAAAAAACATATTATTATGTATAGGTACTCGTAATCAAAAATAAACCAATTAAAATATTCAAAAAAATATTTAATTATTATATTATTTATTCAATTATGTATTTTTAGTTATAACTTACCTTATTAAATGGTTTAAATGGTAGTGAAGTAACGAGTCCAAAAAACTAATTTTCAGCGTTATATTTGTTACATACATTTAGGCTATAAATCTGGTATTAGCATAGATAACTGTATTTATGCAAACTGTATTAATTTAAAACTAAAAATATTGTTTTATTAATAAGTTGTAAGATATGTTTTAAATGATATTTGAGGAAAACTGATAATTATTACGCGATTACTGAGACCGTTTAAAAGGTGTATAATGGTTACTGCCGTTACTGGATTAGTGTAAAATATGTAAATGTCGAATTCTTATTGTTATTGTTATTCATAGCTGCAGCAAATTTTCATTATGTTTACTGTTTTCTATAACTAACGATAATTAATAATCAACTAGATACACAAAAAAAAAATGCGTCATATAAAAATTTAAATATAATAAAAAACGAATTACAAACTCAAAAGTTTTCTAAAATGTTTATCAATTACCAAATACGTAGTAATGTAATGGCAAGTAGGTAATACTAACTAAAAACTGCATTACCAATAAGTATAAAATATAGTACCTAATTTTTATATGTACCAATAACTTATGAATGTAGATCAATAAAAAAAAAAAAACAAAACATAACAATTAATGTAATAAAAACTTAACCATTCTTATAAATAATTTTGAACTATAAATTTTATTAATCTAAGTTGTTTTTTTTAAATTTATTTTAAATCAAAATTTTTATATTTAAAATCTACTACTGATAATGATATTCTAATTAACTTATAAGTAAGCAGTAACAATAATTAAATATAGTCAATTCATATTTATAACTATAGGTAATAATTATGTGGATATTTTAATACTTTGACGAGTTTACTTAGTTTACAAATAGTTGTCAAAATGAGTGCTTATCATTAAGAATAAAACGGCACACCAAAATTCACTGTCGTTTGTATCATTACTACCGTCTGTCGCATTCTTATTAAAATTAAGATAGCTCATCATAAGTACTTTTCAGTAAAATGTTAAATATTTTAATTCACTTAAGCTCCTAAATATACCACATAAAATGTCGGAATAATTTAGTTAGTCTTTAAAAAATTAAAATTCTTGTTTGTTTCATAGATCATAATTATGCGCTAAATGAATAAATTCATGTTTTATGAATGAATAAATATGGTATTTATACTCGGGATTCAATTGACGCATTTAAAATTGAGTGTATTTTGTTTGTTTTCTAAAACAATTTACTAACAATTGTTTAGTCAATAAATCCACTTGTAAAATGACAAATTTATCTTTAAAACAATGGAATAGTAGTTGATGTTTAAGTTAAATAACTCAGTTTTCTGTATCTATTCTAATTAAAATATTGAACCAATCACGCGGATATTTAGATTAAATTGACTAATAACTGTAATGGTAGCAAATTCTATGAAAATATATTATACCTACTGAAATTATAATATAAATATACGTATTTACATATTTATGTACATTCTTAAATGTAAAACACATTAGTTTTGTAATAATATCTTCTTTGTTTATCATTTTCAATGGATGTGACCCCCATTATTGTTATTTATGTTGTAATATTTAAATGCAACTACAATTGTTTTATGACTACATATTATGTTTTACGTTATAGTTCCAGTATACCACGTGAGAGCAGTCGCGGGGCAGCAAGCTCGTTTACCTTGTGATATATCATTGGTATCCGACGAAGAAGATTTATCAGATTCAGGAGTTGATTCACCGCCCCTCGATGGTGAAAGTTCCCTTGCATCTGGTGCAAATTTACGCGACGCAGTTCTACTGGTTTTATGGTACCGTGATGATCTGGGCACACCTATTTACAGGTATTGAATAATTTAGTGTCATTTAATTATAAATAAATCCGCACGTTTCATAGATTAAGATATGTATAGTCATCTTTAAAAAAATGATAACACAGACACGGTGCAAAATAATTATATTTAAATAAAATATAAATTTAAATTAATAGGTAAAATAAGTATATTTTAATTTTGATATTGATAACTTATTTTTATTATTATTTATTAATCATGATTGATTTTTTACATGACATTGAAGTACAAAATATATTACTCGTCAACAATATCATAAATTAATTCTTTTAAACGTCTATAATAATATGTAGTTTGTAACATAGCTGTTTTTATCTCCCATAGATTCATTGACATCTAATATTATTATACTATTAAAGAAAATTACATATTTAATTTGAAATATTTGACATAACTATACTTCTAAAATATAATACTTATTTAGATTATTGAATCCTTATTAAGATAAATTTACGAGTATATACCAGTAGATACATATTTACACTTTTGGCTTAAATATCCTACGTGGTTACGCATATCATTACAAAACTTATTATGTTCGTATTTTCTAGAAATATTCACATATTATCTTCAAATTTTAATAAAAGACGGTTAATGACTATAATAAAAATGAAAGAGAATAACATTTTTAAATCTAAACTTCTTTAAAATTTCTTTTTTAAGACACCTTAATTTTCAAAGTTATGCAGATTGTATAATATTATAATTAATACATGAATTACAATAAATACTGTTATTGAAAGTTAAAATGTTATGTTCTTTGATTTCTGAACTGAGTATTTTTTATTAAAAAAAAAATTGAAGAATATTTCTTAAAAATATGACTTGGATACGAATTTTAAGTTTTGCAATATAATACGTAAGATTAACAAATAAGGAAAATATAAAATAGCCACCATTTAGCAAACATTAAATATTGATTATGTAGTTATGTTCAAAGTTTGAAAAAGAGGAAGTTATAGTTATCAAGTATAGATATAGGCATGCAAAAATAAAACAACTTCTTCGTTATTTGTAATTAAATTATGAAATCGTAAAACTATTAAGGTATTTTCAAAAGCATTGCTCGATGTAGGTTTCTTGAAATAATTGAATCTTGTGTTAACTAATAAACTATGTAAATTTTTAAATTATCCTTCTAATAAGTATATATTTTGATTTTGATCATTTTAAAATTTAAATTAATAATTTTCGCAATGAGTATAATATAGGTTCAATTGTTAGATTATCATGGAAATTTTTTTTATGAAAATATCAAATATGTATTTTAATAGTTAATTTAATTTAAATGTTTATTTATTTATTTATTTTTTTTTTTTTTTTTGACAATATGTTTAAAAGTCAATTTATTGTGAAACCCACATTTCTAATAAGACACTTTTCTGTATAAGTTATGACTAATAATTCATTAATTTTGAATTCCATATTTAAACTTAAAATAAAGTTCTTATTTTATAAGAATTTTTATACATATTACTTATATATAATATCATGAACAAAACTTTGACATCTTGTCAATTAATAACAAAAAAAAAAAATTCTTATTTGTTTATCTAATAAGATTAAAAACACCATTTATATAATGTAAAGTTAAAATATAATTAAATTAAAATTATTTTAAAAACAAAGTAAAAAAGTCAATGAAAAATATGAAATTCCGGTAAGAAGATTGAAGTTCTTTTATATGATATAACAATAACAACATAAATGTTATATTTTATAAGCTAGGTGTATATTATGTTTTAACCGTGCCAAATCACATTTTTTATAGCCATAATTTTTGAAATGAACAATACGTAGTACTTCATTAGTTTAACTGAGAAGAATGGTTTTATATCATTAAAAGTGTTATATAAATCATATTATTTTATTGGAAAATTATAATATATATATATATATATATATATATATTTTTTTTTTTCATAACTGTGTAAATATGAAGTATCTATGAAAAATATTTAACTATAAATTGTGGAAAATGTAGAATAATATTACAGTGTATTATATTTAAGTTTCTTTTGATATACAGTGTAATTATTTAAAATTACTAATTTTACTTTTAATACAAGTCATATTCTTACTTTATTAAAAACATCCATTGTCTATATTTGGTTAATAAGCGTTTAAAATGTGATTTATAGTAAAATTAATTAAATAATATTACTTTGATAACATTTACAACTTTAATAAAAGGTTAAGAATATAACACCTTTGTATAAATTTTTAAATATTCAAATTTCTCTATATTTTTTTCTATTTTTCAAAATTGGAAAATTTGAGGTTAGATTTATTTTTTAACTATCAACAGTTAACAAGTTATTCTTTGTATGACTTGTTAATTTATATCGTATAAAAATTATTAAAACAATTATATTATTAACACATTTTTTGGTTATTGTTGCAATATTTTTAATTTTATAATTATTTAAGCGTGGATGCCAGATCTTCTTCTCATCAGCCTTATGACTCCACGTCATATCATTTGATGACCACGGGCGCAGAAAGATGGTCTGATCAACGAGTGTTTGGTGACCGAGCACATTTTCATGTTAACGCAGGCACAACAGAAGAAGAATTGAAATCGAAAATAAATAATCAAAAAAAATCGACTGTGTCAACATACTACTCTTCGGAATTGCGAATTGACAGAGTCAGTGAAAAAGATGCGATTCACCTTTACCGGTGCCGAGTTGATTTCAGATTAGCTCAAACCCGCAATTCTAAAGTTAATCTAACTGTGATTGGTAAGTCTATATCATTTACTCGTAATTCATGATTATATGTTAGGATTATTTTACTATAGATACGATACATAGTTACATAAACTAAGCTATAAAAGAGTTAAAAGAGTTGCAATAAATAATATAATATATTAAAACATTTTTAACGATGTGTAAAAAGAAAAGAAAAAAGTGAGTTAATTGAAAAAAAAAAGTTGATACCTGTTTATTATATGATAAAATTGCAAAAAATTATACAATGTAAAACGAATTAATGTTATAAGGAATCATCAATTTTTCAAGTACACGTACGTCCTTTTCAGATATTTTACATTTAATTTTAAGATCAAATCGATGAACTTGTAGTGTTTTGTAAATCAAAAAATATGACGTAGCATTGATAAAACTTTGTTACCAATTATTATTTTTTTTCGACGTTGTATAAAATTGGAAATTCCATATTATAATATTTTAGCTTAATGTTTTATACTTCGTCATTTCGATGTGTGATTACAATATAAATAAATTATTTCGTGGTATTAATTACATTTTAAAACTTTCATAAATCAAATTAAAATGATTGAAAAATAATGTAATTTGTTATAATTAATTTAATGCTACAGAAAACGTTGTTATAGGGATTCCCGAAAGAGCTCTTTAGACATTTCCATTATTAATATGATTAAGTTTAGGATTTGGTGCTGAGCGTAAGAATACATCTCTCTATCATAATCTCTCTCTCTCCTTCTCTCTATGTATATACTCGTATATATAATTTCTAGCAAAACATGAAATTATATAATATATATATATATATTATATATATATAGGTATACAAATAAAGGCAGAAAATTGTTTGGTGTTACTAATAAGTAATAATGGTCGTAGTCAAGGGGTGGCAGCGACGGGAGATTACAGGTCGGGTGGCCTGAAATGTTAGGACGAGCAGTTACTGGGAATGAGACTTTTGGCGCGTATTATAATACGTGGGTGTGTTCAACTTCTGCTCGGGTTGTTGCTTAGTTTTTCAGTGCAAAAAGGTGATAGGGGGTGGGTTAGGTGTGTTTGTGAGGGGGATATGAAAGGTGGACATGGAGTGGAAGAAAGATAGGTTCGTGCACCCGCCACCGGGTCACGTGTGTGTGCATTATATATATACATAATATATATATATTATATATATAGCATGAAAACATCCGGGTGGAAATCCATCACCGCCGCGGCCGCGTCGGATAGCATATATAGGTACCTACTACCTATAAGCGAAGCGTATATTTTACATTATGTCTGGTCGAATACCGCAACGACGCAGATCGACTAGGTTTGTCCACGGAATTCCACGCGTATAAATGTTGCGACACGCCGTCGTCAGTTACGTGTGCGATCACTGCGCGGAAGCCGGTTACGCCATTGTACTTATGTCGCAGCGGCGTGCGCGTGTACACGCGAATGGGTGGACCGAGGATGAACGAGTGAATGGTGGTGAACAAAGTGGATGGGTTTTTTGGACGGTCGTCGTCATTGTGATGGTGGGGAGTGGGGGAGGTGTTGGCGGCGCGACAGTTGGACGGAGGAAGTGTGAATATACGGACGGGCGTCCGGGCAGGGTTTGACGACAGCGCGCGCTGGGTGACCGCGCGTGGGCGACGTGTAACGCGCGGAGCGGTGGCTTGGCAAGTCGTGATGGTTTAGGGTGAGAGTGGTAGTGGTCGGGTATCGGTGAAGGGAGTGTACTTGCGCGCTGCTATATCGATCTCGTTCGGGTGGCAGCACCCGGTGGTGGTGGTACACGTGGGATGGGGACGCTGCGGCAGTGTTGTCGAGAGAAGCAGCAGCGGAAGGGGCGAAATGACGTGACTGGCGGGACGGGGGTGAAATGAAAAGCTCTCGAATGTTGGTGGTGAGCTATATAGAGTCGTTGTTATTATTATTGTTATTATTATTATTACTATTGCTATTACTATTATTATCATTATTATTATTATTTTCCTCATTGCCTGGTGTCGGAAGAAGAGAGTTTAAAGGAAATATAACCATGAGCGGGTGAGTAGCAATGAAATGATACCGCGAACGATGGTGTATACACGGGTGCTAGCGGGAAAAAGAGTGTAATAAGAGCAGGCGAGGTAGTGATCGAGGGGGCGTTGAAAGGGTGGAAAGGTGATGGCAGGTTTTGTATGACAGAAGACAGTCATGAATCGAAACGGTGGTAGTTGGGATTCGTTGATTCCTTTACATCCATTATTATACAGTAATCGTTACAAAGGACGAGCGATGTTGGCAATTTATTTAAAACTAAAATAATTATACATTAATCAACCAATTTCGATTCTATGAATAATAATTAATCTATTAACAAAAAAAAAACTAATTTTCTCATTCTTGCACATATTAGCACTATATAACTGTTATTCTAATTTATGGGAGAAAAAAAATCTCAATTATTTTCCTCTTCATAATTGATTTGATAACATCTCGCTCGGGTTCGTTTTTCGAATGTTGCAAAAATATTATTCCATTTAATAAATCATATCTTTAACGCATATGTGTGATTCCATGGTCCATACTAAAATAATGATTTATCAATGATTTAAGAATGTTAAATTAAAAAAAAGAAAAAGAAAAAAAGACGGATTTTTGTAATATTATTATATTACGTGTAATAATATGAAATTGAAGTTAATATACTGAATCGGATTCCGTCGTTAATATTTAATACCTATTACCTACTCTTTTATGGTAGAATTCACTGATATTTTTAAAAACGGGTTTATTATTTCCCCTAAAATATTTAAATTTATTTAAATTTTATGATTTGTTGTGTAAAAATGTTTAACAAAATAATGAAAAATATTTATTTTGTTAAAAAAAAAAAAGGTAAATGTTTGTATTATACATCAGGATACCAAGACCAAAGTTTAAAAATGATTTTTTTAACGAAAACCTATTTTTTCGTCTTCATACACTCAGTTTAATCTAGTTATCTATCTTGTTATTATTGACATTTTTTATTTAAAAACTAAAAATATGTACTTTGATTATTTTGTCACTTTTGTTATGTAGGTAAAACCATACAATCTCTTTTTCCACAAAACGATTACCATAATTGTGACGATGTGATGATGAACACAACACTGTTGTGTTCACAAGACGAGCTGCACGTACAAAAATAATTACCATGCTTTAGTAATGCGCACGCAATCGTCTTGTTTGTACTCAAGTCACGTCTTTAACTATTAAGCCCTGTAACTGGACACGACTTGCAGTTTCAAAATTATTAATCGTCTCCGCATACATTTGTATTGGTCGGGTACAATTTACTTATCTTCCGCTGCAATCATTGCCAATCCGGGCAATACCATCGCAATAAAACAATAATGTAGATACCTACTAGTAGTTGGTCGGGCGTGGAGACAGTGGAATGCGGTAAAATGGCAAATTGTTACGGAAGTTATAACAGCAGTCACTGAGTTCTGCGAATGGAATTCGGAATGTCTCCCCTAGGTCACAGTATTTTTTTTCTTTTTTTATTGCTGTTTAGTCAATCGAGACTATAGTGGAAAGGGTAGGTACGCAAAAAGAATATCCGAGTAGATGATAAATTATGGAGTTTTCTATAATGTGTAATAGGGTTGATATAAATAATAAATAATGTATAAAATACGTCATATAAATGTATAATCGGAAATCGATCGGTTTAGTGATGATAGATAAAGATATGTAGATTACGAGCTTGTAATATAAATGTGTAAATAAATTATTAACGAATTCATTATACAGCGACGTGTTAATCGCATGTGCTTTTAATTTTATGTTACATATTATAATACTATGTATTGTGTTGCGCAGTGCCACCGGATCGCATGGAAATTATGGACTTGGCCACGGGTCGACAGCTATTACGACGACAAGATGGCGATAACTTTAATAGCAAAAATGATCGAGGGTCAGAGGCATCTACCACGACTACTACGACGGTCGTGGGGCCTTATGTCGAGGGATCGGATGTGCGTGTTCGCTGCCGGGTATATGGAGGTTAGTTTTGTATTAATATAATAATATGTACCGGGATAATAGCTGAAATCAAATTCTCATTCGTGTATAGTATAATAGTGGTATTGTACTACGTTCTAAAATATCTTTCGGTAGTGTTTAGGACAGAGGTTATCGGTCACATATCCTACAATAGGCAGTTCAAAATAATGTTATTTATCGCGTTCTCTAAAAATATTAATAATAATAGTACAGTCGTACTTCCATATTGCGGCACACAGGATCACGCGTAAGGTACAAATAGCCAGACTCATCAGAGTTTATCATCGTATTTTACAATCCGGCCATAATCTTTTACGCTTATTCATTTTACTGTCTTTGTATATTGAATAGTACAAAGGCAGTGGAGTATATACACTCGTCGTCTTTGTGCGCAGTGATATTCACGTACGCCCTTATATTGGGGCCGGTGTGTATGTAAACATTATCAGTCGTTCCCGGCACAATATTCATATCGCCTTTAATATTCCCCCGCTGACTGTATGGTATATACCACCGTCTTTTCACTTATACATCTACGGTAATTATTTATTTATTGCTATCATCGTTTCCATATTATTTAATATGCACCCACCCACCAACCAAGAGAGTGTTACGTAAAATATGTTTATTGTGTATACGTGTATCTTAATTATGAAAACGACAAACGTTAGATTGAAGTTGTCCACACATATATGTATTCGCGTAACCACACTTAGCTCCTGAGCATTAAAAACAATAAATAATTATCCTTTTCTATAAAGACATCTGGTCATGCACGCTCATCTCATTCTTTTTGACAAACAAAAATAATTATCTCAAAAAAAAAAAAAACCTTAAGATACTGTATAATACGTGAATGTTGGTTTATTAATAACTCTTCCTGTTTACGTTAAATGTATTCATGATATCTTTCACCAAGTAAACAAGTAGAACATCTTAACTATTTATTCCTTTTTGTTCATGTATATTATAAATTGCAAAGTAATAATATTTATTAGTATATCCCTATACACAATATGAAATATGTTAATATTATGGTTCAAGAACCTTAGTGGGTAGAAGCGTTGTTAAGTTTTAATTTTAAATTTCAAGCAGATCGAGGGAGTTATTGGTTATATAGAAATGTGTTTTTGTTGTTTAATCCACTTTTACCAGGAAATTATTATTCGGGAAACAAAAATAGCTTAATAATTTAAATACAATGATTTTATAATTTAATAATTAAACAAAGATTATACATATCTAAACCGTTTTATCTAATAATAGAATTTTATGTCATTATGTGTATTAATATTTTTTAATTTTATAAACTAAAGATTAGTCGTCAAACGTTAAAATCTGCATTAATAAATTTGCAGTTTATGTGTATTTATATTTATATAATACACTATATAAACAAAATACAAAATAAAACGATTCATCTATTTAACAAAAATATGAAAAAATACTAGTTCTTTATTTTCACAAACATTTTTAGATAGATTTTAATTTTTATAACTGATTTAAAATAAATGTTTAATACAATTCTACCAAATATTTTCGTACTAAGATACGATAAATTAACTCAAAACCAATCAACAGTTTTTAATTTTCAAGTGTATCTAAAATATTTTTGAACAAAATATCTATTATTAACAGCATATTGACTGATTTTTTTATATAAAGAAATATATTAGGAATTATTTTATTAATACCACAACAATTATTGCCTTAAAGTTAAAAAGTATGATATATCCTATTCTATGTTCATCGAGTGAATATTGTAGTGAGACTAGTTCATAATATATACATGAAGTTTTAACCACACAGTTATTTTCTTTAATAATATTTATTTATTTATTTTTATTTCAAAATGTATTAACGAAAAGAGCAAAGACCCCTATTAAAAATAAAGAACTGTTTTATTATACAGATTAATATAAGTAAATTAATTCATGAAAGATAATTTAATACTTACCTATCATATTATAAATCATAATTATAATAGGCTAAATGTAGATACATAATTGTCCAAATATAGCATATTATACATATATATTACAGATTTTTTGACCATTCTATTACCTAACATAGAATAACTATATACAACAGAGTTATTTAAATTTAATGTTACAAAACTTAAAAGGATTATATAAGACTATAATAATTTATAATCCCTGACATTTTTGCGACATTAAATTTAAATAACCTTGTACAAAATATTTCGTACATGTTATATTATAACTTTGATATCTTAATATCATATTAAGTTCAATGTGCATTTTCTTAATACACATGATGTAAAAATTCAGATGAATGGAATTAGAATTTTAAAATACATTCATAGAAATTTAATACATGGTCATTATTTAAATAATAGTTAATAAAATATATATTTATTAATTATTAATTAAAATTATTGATTTTCTTTAGTTAATAAGTTAATTTTTTTTCTCTAATTAATAACTATTTATACTAAATACTTGAAAATGTCTATGAATTTAAATTTAAATTTATATATAATGTACATTTTTATTCTTAGGTGATACTTAAAAGTAGCTATTAAGGCAATTTTACTATTTTAGTACAGATTTACTTATATATTTTAATATTTAATAGCTAAGTTGAAATGCATATTAGATTTATAAATGTTCAGAATAACAGTAAATAATTAAATATCCTATAAACAATTTTTATTTTCGACCTTAATCTAGATTGTCTGGTTATGATAATCATAATTTATGAATTATAGGCTTCTTTTGGTAAAGAAAAATAATTCTTAGTATTTTAGTTTATTATCTAATAATTAATTTGGTATAATGAAAAAAAAAAATTATCCAAATTAATGTTTTGTTATAGGTACATATAAAGTATAATAATTAATAACAGTAAATGGAAAATTAAATTCTGATCGTTGCAAGAGATTTATTGATTTACAATGACGTTTGCTTTTCTTGTAAAGTAAAAGAGCTCAAAAAGTGTCACACAAGACTTTGAAATATGAAAAATTAAATATAATAAATAAGAAAACTTTTATACTTTTCGAAGTCTTGGATAAAATTAGGGAAATTGCAATAAAATGGTGAATACATAATAACTATTATTTTATTAACTGTAGTGTACGCATTAGCTATGCAAATACATTTATTACATACAAATTAAGTCAATTTACCGTGATGTAATAGCTTTAAAGAAATTTAAATTTATTCATTGTTGATTTGTAAATTTCCAAGATAGAATATTATATTTGTTTTTAATTCATTTAAATCAATTTCAACTAAGTTAATATAGAATATATCTTTCTACTACATTATGTTATGATTTTTCTTAAATGATCTCAAACGAATAGGTACACTTATAATACGCTTTAAATTATAAGTATTTCGTATTAAATAGTATCAATAACCATTAAGTAACTAATTACGAGTAATCTATGAAAAAAAAAAAAATGTAAATATTTTAGTTCTTTTACTGTAATTGAAAAAATATAACATCCAATGGTGTTTTATGTTTTTGAAATAATATTTACTTAACTTTTGTATAACTATAAGAGGATAATCAAATAAATATAATAGTTTTATTTTACAATAAACATTTAAAATGAAGGTATTGAAATTGTATAAAATATAGGGAATCTAAAAATGATTAAATGACTCTTTCGTTCGAAAATATTATTACCTTATTTTAACAATAACACATAATACATCCACGTATCAATAATACGATTTGATATGTTTACAACATGAGGTTCAGTTGGTATTTCGCTATTATTGTTGTACATCTATATCTATTTTGTTGAATTTTATTAAAAAACTGATCTATAAACTTATTCGTTATAATAAACTAAATATAAAATATAACGAGTAGTATTAATAATATTTTATAAATATAATAAGTCATTCGATTTGAACTCACTATATTATTTATTTTATAGGCAAACCAAGACCTCGTGTAGCATGGTTTCGAGATAACCGTTTATTAAAACCAGAATCAGATGATCCTGATGACATCAATGGAGCTCAACAACAAGATGTCACTGCTATTGACGGTTACGCGACAGCAACTGTTACTTCAAGCTCGTCCACTTCTACTGGAGGTGACAACTCGGAAGGAATTTTAGAAGTAGATTTGACTTTAACAGGATTAACACGAAGCGATTTGCACACTGAGCTCACTTGTCGGGTGTGGAATTATTTTTACGACGATGAGGAATATTCAATCATTGTTACCAACAGTGGTTCCAGTTACATTGATACTAGTATTGAAAAAGAAAATATGAGTGGAGAAGTTGATCCCAGTCGTTGGACCCAGAGACAACGTCAGTCTTCGCTGACAGCCGTCGTGCATGTGGATATGAATTGTAAGTAGAATAAATTATTAAAAATTTAATCAATTACAATATTATACAGTTATGTAAATCGCTATGTGAAAAGTTTGGTAGAATATTTTTACCAATTTTGTTCAATTGAATACGTTTGTGTATTCAAACTGTCCATTCCTAGAACTTTGATCATAAATCGAATTTAGTAAAGTATCTATAATATTTTATATTATTTTTTTGAGAAAAATGAATTGGACGCAAAACAAATATAAATAAAAAACCATGAAAAATATAGCAAGTTTATTCGTAATTTCACATAATTATATGGACACCAATAGTCACGTGTAAAATCGACAGTCTTCTCGGAATATAAATAAATAGTTGCTTTTATAATATCACGATAATATTTTACAAAATTATCACCGAATCCACGCGTTAAACTCGCGAAAATCCCGGCGTAACACCAACATCTGCACAATAATAATATAATCATATAACAATATAATAGCCGTCATGTTTCGTACAATACATATGTAATAATATTATAATATTCTATCCCACTCTCTTTTCATATCCACAGTATTTCTCTCTCTCTCTCTCTCTCTCTCTCTCTCTCTCTGACTCTCTTTCCCTCTACATCGCGTGTGACTCTCGTTAATTACCAGCCGAGTACCGAAAGCGTGTGTATGCACTTGACAGCTACAGTTTTCCTACGGCGCAGGACACGCGGACGTTATAGCAGTATAGCTTCACATACACCCACGATCCCCTGAAATCGACCACCCGTACCCTAACGTTGGCCGTGTACTTGTGTGACGTGTGTACGGTGTTTATGTATATGTATAAGTATATAATCTATAATATATAGATACCATATGTACCATATTATGTACATGGTTATGTATCCTTGCGTATATGTAGCGTATAGAGTAATTAATTGGCACGGTACACTACACCGCCAAACGACACGTCGTTTTTAATTACACGTAGGCAAAAACACTCATTATATAATATATATAATATGTCTGCTTGGGGGGTGTTTTGTGTGTATCTGTTCAAGGATATGTGTGTGTGTATCTGTTTATGGTGGTCGGGGGTGACGGTGTATGTGGGTTACAATATATGCGCGTATAGTGGTTGATTGTGGCGCATATATTATAATATATTCGTACTTGGCGGCAATGGAGGACGTATAGTTGTTCGTGTCACCATTTTTCACGTGGTGGCTCGACCGCCGACTACCACCTACTCCGCCGATCATGGCCAATATAAATTAATCAGTGACCTCGGTTAACGGGTGGTATACAATATTGTAGCGACGACAAAAACGCCGAAACGTCGAAAACCAAGACCCGCGTGCATATGCTAAAATACACGTAAATTAACCTTCTGCACAAAATGCACACATGGATACTATCCTCTTGTGTTTATGGCACATATATCACACAAGCGTGTGCAAGTCGTAATAATTATATGGGTAAGCTGTTTAATTCTCTAAGTGCCGGCGCAGTACCTATTATCTGTGTATTAATATTACACTATATTATTCTGTTACCATAAAAGCTTGATTATGCATAACTATTTAATAGTAGGATTACAAAAAAAAAAAAAAAACCATTTTATATAATTTAAGACGTAAAATTATATTTTATTAGTTGAATAAATCTATTACAGAATAAATACTAACAAAAATAAAACATTTATTAATATATATGCATTTTCTGAACGGTAATACGTTATTCATATTTCAATTGGTATAAAACTCATCTAAGATCTTCCGGATTTTCGTATATACCTATATAACTCGGTTATTGATGACGATTTCACTCGAAATCAATTTCCTCTATGAACAATGTACATACATAAATATGTATGACCATTTCAAATAACATAAATGATTCTACAAGTATATTATGGTAGGCTGAGGTAAGTCAACTTTCACGGTTTGGTATTGATAATTGATTTAGATAAATCACTATAAAAAAAAAAAAAATGATTGCAAATGTATTATTTATTTAATATTACCGTTGAAAACTAAGGTTATTAGCATATAAAAGACATAATAACAAAAGATATAAAATATTTATGTTAAAAATTGAATATTTGATAAATAATTTAAAAAAAAAAAGTCAATATATTTTAGAAAAATTATTAGTATATTTTTGTACTTGGGACCTCATGGAGTAAATTAATCAAAATTATTATTATTATTATTAATATTAGATAAAGTTTCAATAATTTGATGTATTGACTATTTGTTTGTATAAATAACTTATCACAGTATCGTTAGAGAGATGTTTGCTTTTGTCGAATTTAATCAATATTGAATTAGTTACTTACTCAGTAGTATCAGTGCTACCAGAAGCTTCTTATTTAATCAAATTTGTCATTCGTAATTTTCATAAATGTTTTTGCGTTAATATTTTGATTTCAAGGTTAATGATACCTATCAAAATTTATCACCTGAGATTATCAGATGAACATTGAAAATTATTATTATTTTAGCTATATAACTTTATAAGGTGATGAAAATGTATTTGTATTATATTATTAAACGATGCAAGCTACATTCATTATTATTTGTTTAATAATAGTTTTGTTAGATAATTAAATGCAGAACCCATTATTTGAAATGCGAAATGCAAATTTAAAACTGTTATTGTTAAAATCGTAGCATAAGTTGATTTATAATTGAGGTATTTAAGTAAGTAATGTAGATAAATAACATGACCTTACATTCATTATATTCATATTAATACTGTAATACAACTATAATACACGTATATATAATTTACTTACAACTGGACTGCATCAACAGTTATGTACACAATATTACGTTTTGAGAGTAAGTGTCTATATGGACTTTAGTCTATACTCGCATATACACCAAAAGCTTCTATTTATACGTCACCATTGACATCATATACTCTAGCTAGATGTAGGTTGTGTATAGCAATAAAAAGTTATGTCCTAATTTGTTATATCATATGTATAGAAAGTTATTACTAAAATAAAATATTGATATATGCACACATGTGTTCGGAATGATAGAATATTAATATTAATTCTATATTTTAACATGCTCCATTAATTAATATTTTTATTTTTTTATTTTTGGCTGAGCGTATTCCAGAAAACTTCTTTTATCAAAGGTTTGGTTAAGATTTCAACAGTCTAGTCCTCTGTTGTTGTACTCTAAATGTACTGTAATTAAAACAATCCATCTTCATATTTTTTTTAAAATAAAATGATAACTTTTGTCGATGCATTGTGTCCTCTTATGAAAACTCAAGTTTTTTCTTTAAATATATTGCATTTTGATAATTAATATTTTATGATAATGATTGTTAATATTCTGCGTTATCCACATGACTCCTTTAACTGTTCCATTTTCTGCAACATATTTGGCTTCCGTTGACGATAATGACACACTTTTTTTATCTATGATCGCCATAAAATAACATAATATGACTCATAATACGCTGTGCTTCAATGTTACCTACATGATCTGCATCACTAAATATTTCTAATGATAATTTTGTATTATTATCAAAATATAAACCATAGATAAATGTTTGTTTAATTTAAAGTATAATACGTTTAATTAAACTTTAATGACCTTTCATTATGAAACGACTAGCAAAGTTGACTACATGTGCAATATGTTGTCTTGATACTTAGGATAAGGAGGAATAAACTATTCGTTTCTTGTCAATGTAGAGCTTTTTCATTTAATTTTTCCAATTAATCTTAGAGTATGAGACTTGTCAAATTGGAATCCAAAGTTTTTGACATTCTATAAATTAAGCTATGTACGTAATTTGTTTGATTTACAAATGTCAAATAATGACCAAACTTTCTTTATGTTTATTTGCATACTTATAAAATACTCTAAATTACCCTTTTTTTACTCAAAATTCTTTTTCCAATATTGCCAAAAAGTTTTTAATTTTTTTATTGTTTGCAGAAGTTAAGCCATCATTTACAAATATTGTAAGAATAATTTGATTAACATTTGTTTAAAATACACATATATCTTCTTTACTAGATTGTAAACAAACTTTATTCAAAATCTCTTTAAATTATTAGTTTAAACAACTTGGAGTTTGTTCTAATACATAAGACTTCTTTGCAATTTACTTACTTTATTTGGTCGGTTTTCATAACTCGTTGACTGTATCATGTATATTTCTTCCTGCAGATTTCTATATAAATGTTGTTTAAGTATTAAACTGTCGTAATTTTAGTATTTTTACAACTGTGATTGCAAAAATAACTCTAATTGATATGTATTGGACTACTGGTAAAAATGTTTATTGATAAATTATATCATATTTTTGAGAACAAAATTTAATAATAATTAGCGTCTTAAATTTATTTATATTTATGTCTATATTATATTTTCTTTTGTATACCTGTGGTATAACGTAATTTTATTCGACAATAAATTGACTAATATCCGAGTTTCATTTTCATTTAATGACACTAATTTATTGTTCATGCTATATTTTGATCCGTTTGTTATTGCCTCGTCGAATTTTAATGGTTTCATACAATTAGCAATAAAGGATTGAGCGTTGTGTCTGACCTGTGGTGACTCTATACTTGCCCTTACAATCTCTTTAGAAATATCTCTTCTTTCCACAGTAAGCCTTATCATTTACTTATATTTTTAACTGAACCATAACTATTTTAATTTTTTAATAAATTTATTTTAAACTTCAGCTGAATATGCACTCGATTTTATTTTTATATTTAATCTATTTGTATTTTTTATTCTTCAATAAATAAATGACTTATTAAATAATTTATCATTTTATTTTTTGTTGGAATAGAATTCCAAACAATGTAAAAATGTTTATATTATTTAAATGTTTGTTATAACCATATTATCTACAATAGATTAGGTTCCCCTACTAAATTTTTCAGTTTAAAAATTATGTATCAATTTATTATCGGTTAACCCTTTTAACACTCTTTTTGAAGCTAGGTACTGTTTGTATATAACAAGAAAATTTTCACATACTTGAAGTGATGTTACGTAGTCCATTATATATTGAAACGAACTAACGTTCACTGATATAAAATTTCATTTTTAACCAAGCATTAATTTATTTCTAATACCGTAATTTGGCTTTCACATAAGTTTCCTTGTCTGATTTCTTTGTGATTTTTGAACTAAACTTTGTCCAATCACCCAAAATAATACTTCCCACTTAGAAAAAATTAAATTTGACTCGTTTGAAATTTCCACGATGGTCGGTTCTCTATACTTCTCTATTTTAAATTGGTAAACTTCACCGAGTTCTCCATGATCAATGGTTTTTGTTCAGTTTGACAGTATATACTGAATTATTATTGAAATACAGCGTTCCTGAAATCCATGAAACCTCTGACAGGTTGTAATTTTCTGCGTTAATATAAATTAATAAACACTTCAACCATAAATTCACTTAAAGTGTGTAGCTAAGGGCACAAGACCTATAACCTGTTGAAGTTGAAGTTTGAATATAATTATAATTTAGATATTTAATGTAAATAAATGATACGACTTTATTATTATGTAAATACTACAATATAATTTTACCATAAATGTAGCATACAACTGGACTATAAAAGGGACAGTGTACAGTATACTCACTACATAATATAATGTTTTGTGAACGTTTTTACGTACGTTTTAAGTACCTATTTATATGCTAATATGCCATAATTGACATAATATACTCTACCTACATTCGTATAACAATTGATAGTTATATTCTAATAAGTAATAGTATATATAGACAATTAATAGTTAAACATAACATCAATTATGTACACACGTGCTTATAATTATAGAATAATAAATTAGATATATTATTTTTTTATTTTTTAAAAGTTGCAGTTATTTAACTAAATGCTTTAGAATAATTGATCTGTGGTTCATCTTTCAGTACTGTTATTTTTTTGGAAATTGGATGTTAGCATTTGTTTTAATAATGATTATGTAAGTACTTTTGCTTGTGTTGGATTATGAATTAGACTTGATAATGAAGATAAGTGAGAATTTTTGGTATGCTATTACTTATTATAGCTACAGCTGGGAACGTATTGTAAAATAAACCTAAATACTAAAGTTATTTGTGCGTCGTTAAACTACTATCGAAAGTTGTACAAATAACATAAGCAATAATCTAGAACACAAGTGTTTTTAAATGGCTGTCACATTCAATACTCGAACTTTTAAAAATTTATTATTATGTATGTTCACATTTATCATTATTAAAAATAGAAAAATTATTGTCCATCAACAACTTAATATAAAAAAAATAATGAATATTTAAGTTAATTGAAATAGTGTTATTTACAACAAAAAATAGTAGGTATATAATAACTATCATGTAATATATATTAATATGTAAATTCATTTTTGAACGTGTGTTATTTCAATTTAGTGTGGTTGATTTATTAAGATTTTACTAGAATAGTCTCAAGTTTATACATCTTAAGTTTTTCGAAAAAAACTATATATTCATCTTTAATAAATCATGTTCTGATTAAAAACTAAAGTAGAAGTTAATCCCTAATAGTAACTAGTGAAACATAAACTAACCAAGAATTTTCAGTATAGGCACGAATTGGATGGTCTTTGGTAGAAATTAAGCTCTAATAGAATAAGAGTATTCTAGCAATATATTAAATCTATTTCAACTATGTCAAAAATTAATTAAAATTGTACAAAAATATATTTATAATATAATAACTGATTTCTATTATAATAAATAAATAGTTATTTTAATCAATACAAAGATTAAAAACAAATATTTGATAAGCAATTATATCATAAGATGTACAATTTTGTACAAGTTTAAAGAAACTTAATAAGTTAAAAAATATACAGTTAAAGAATAATAATTTGTCATTGTAATTCATACTCTTTGATAACTTTTTTTTGTTTCTATAATAGGAGAGTCAATTAAATATAGTAATTATTAATTAATAATGAAATGTATACGTATAAATTTTTTAAAGAAGCTATCGTGAAATTGTATTATAACTATTTTAGAATGATTATTGAGAGAAGTGTTGGAGACAAACCCTCGGGTCAGTTTTCCGTTAAAAATTTAAATGCTTTAAGCTCCGTTAATTTAATTTTTTATTTTATGTTGCGAATCGATTAGGTAAACATAGGGTTTACTAATGTTTAAAGCTGATAATATATAATTTTTTTGAGGCAATTAAAGCTGGAGGTAACATTTTTTAATCAGAAAACTATAAGAAATATTTTTATTTTTTAATCATACTTTTTTATTGATAAGATAGTTTAAATATTTCTATTGCGATGATTTATTTAACTAATATTTTATTTACTTTGAACCATTTTAGTAAATAAGCTATTTAATATTTTTGTTTTTTATTCTATGATAATAATAGATTTTTTTAGTTTTTGAACGAGAGATTTCATTGAAAAAACCCTGGCTACGGCATTACGTAATACTATCTGTCTTGTGTCGTCAAATCCACTTACTTATTAGTCTTGAACCATTTTCAACAATTGTTTTATATAAATTTCCTAATCACTCGTTTATTTTTTATGGTAAGTTAAACTTCTCTGAAGTCTCGAGGTCAAACCACACTTATGATTTAATATTTCCTTCTACCTTTACTATAGGATATCCCTTTATTGTTAAAATCTTAGCATTTCGTGATTTTAATCATCTAAATGATATTTTAAACTTATATCGTTCCATTCCCGATTTAGTTTTCTCAAATAATTCCTCATTTGATCTTTCAGTTTCTATTAATGTTTACAACCCTTCTCTTTACATTTCGTTTAACCGTATTAATGTTAAGTCTTATCTAATTAATATTAGAGTTACAATAACCTTTAACCTTTATAATTGGCTTTCAACATTTGAATCTAATGAATGATAATGTTAATTATGTATTATAATTACGATTATAATAATCCTATTATTTATGTGTTTAGTTTTCTATTTACAATTATTTTTCCTAAATATAATTTCAGAAATCATATTTTCTGTTACAGTTTTTAAAAAATAGCTAATTGACTTGGTGTGTGAGAAATAAAAAGCTCAAAGAAATTATTAAATTTCCTTTAGGTGTATTTATTATAAATGTTATCCGTACATTTCTATAAAAACTTTTAGAACTATTTATAAACTAACAGAAAAATTAAATTTATTTCACATAAAGGTCCATATTGCTAAATTACTTGAATCTCCTAATTCGGTACTATCTTTAATCTTATTTTATCTAGCCATCAATATGTTTTTTTTTTTTTTTATCCAAACGTATATCAGCATACATAAGAATAATTTAAAAAATAATATTATGTGAAAATTCTATTTTTTTCCTAATTTTAAGAATTTTTTATTTTTGGCATCCTTCTAAGTACCTGCAAGGTTTTTGATTTTCTGTCAAAGATACTACTTATTAAGTATAAAGACTGAATCTTTTTTACTGTATTAAGTATTTAAAGGTAGCATCTGAAAAAAACACATTTTTAAAAACAAAAACAATATAATTAATATACATTTAGTATTTGAAAGACCTAACTTTTCCATATCCAATGTCTTGAAACCCGCAAAAAATAATCATGAGCATATATGTATTTCCACGTATAATTAAAGATAAATTTAAAAAATAATTAAATAAATATTATGAATAAACAATATTATAAAATGATAACTTTCCTGATAAGGTTAATTGCTTAAAGTGGGTTATAATCTTTAATATAATTTTTCCAACTGATCCAAACATGCTTGCCCAATTTTTTAAAAATTTGCTATAATATTTTTGAAAATATATGCACAAAATGGTCTATATAAAATAACTAAACTGTATGTAAATGGTTTCTAACCTATAATAGGAGAGTCGAATTATGTGTATTATAATACCATAAATACATACATCTATAGATAATAGATTCGACTATTTCCGCTGGTAAGAACGTTGACTATTTTAAAGCGTGTTCTCTGGATGTTCATAAACTTGAAAAAATGAAACAAATAATTGAACTTCAGCCATTTAATTTGTTTAATGACAATTTTTTTTTTTTATTCTTACTCGTTTGTAGTTCCACCGTTGACTGTTCAAATCCTACCGATCGCAGAAAATGGCCACTTAAGTGGTATTGACAACGATTTAGAGCCGCCTCCGTTCACACAATCTTCGGCGAAAATGACATCATTAACGTTACCTGAAGACGATGATCGTTTGTCTGTGCACAGCAGCAAGATTCAAGAACATCGTCAGCTGCAACCATTAACGGCTGGGAGGAAATACGAGTTACCGTGTCGGGCTTACGGGTCTCGACCACCGGCAAAGCTAACATGGTGGATGGACGGACGGCGATTAGACACTACCCGAGAGACAGTATGTAGACATATTTATCATTGATATTTGCTTTAATTTTTTGTCTGATAAATGTTAGCTGTAAACAAAACAAAATTTATAAAAAAGTTACAACTTTTATATAATTCACTAAATCATAAGATACACAAATTTATAAATAATTTACTATTTGTAGTTAAATTTAGGTATTACAGTTCTTAACTTCAAAATATAATATAATAATATAGTATTATACATTATTCATAACGTTGACGTTATTAAACACCATGAATATTTTATTATAATTATTGAGCTATCGAAGTTATACTTAAAGCTAATTAATAATAAAAATTATAAATTCATCTTATTCTATTTAACAAACCATATGCTACAGCTGAACATGAAACACAAATTTATATGCCATGATTAATATATTAAAATTTTTAAAATTAAAAAATGTACTTTAAAATACTCTAGTATAAATAAATATTTTTATTTTAACTGTTACTTCTATTATGAGTATGATATATATCATTACATTTTCAAAATAAATGCATTTATTTGATAGACAGAAAATACTGTATTATATTATGGGGTACATTTTTTAAATTTAATTTATAATTTCTAATTTAGAGTTTGTTATTAAGTTCAATATTTATTATTTATTAATTAAAATAGATTTTAAACGTGCGTGTCTTAAGTTTGTTGATTGAAATTATTTTTTATATATTTAAAACTGGTGAATTTTATATAAAGTTATGATGATTTTGACAACACTAATTTAATAATATTGTGTTCTAATACGTTTTGTTTTAAGTCTTTTCAAGTCTTAAGTTTATATAAAAACTAACAAGAAGAAATAAACTAGAATTATGATTACATTTATTCGATTTTAAGGAAATATTATCAATTAAGATTTTTAAATTTGATTTGAAAAAAAAAGTTAAATCATTCATCGTTAAAACTTGAATGCAAGGTTTCCCGTCCTCCGTATTCTTCTGTTTAAAATACATTTATAAATTAATTTCTCTTATTTTTTTTAATGACTTTCGACAATTTAAAAAAAAAAAATGTGATGAAAATACTACAATATAATATGAAATATTCATAATTATGTGGTTCGATTGAAAATCACTCGTCAAACGCAATGGCATGATTTTTTATTGTACCCATTAGTCATTTTATTGATTGAACCATTGCTTACAACTTTTATATTATTTAATTTAATTAAATTTTTTGTATAACTATACACCTTGCATTTTGATATACCATCTTAAAAAGTGCTATATATTTAGCGAGCCGTATCTAAATGTTAATAATAAACGATTTTGATATTTAAGTATATTCTTTAATTATTATGTCCATCTTTAATGCAGAGTCTTAATTTAAAGTCTTAAATTCTTAAATAGTGATGTAAATATACACGGTATTTTTTAAATAATAAATGGTTAGTCTACATTCGTGAATGATGAGGAAATTGACTTTTAAGTTTATAGTGAATAAATCATTATAAGAAAAATTGTGCCACTAGATTTTTCGTACAAATTTGATGAAAATAGTTTGGAAATAAATGTTAAATAACATATAGTGATATTGGCTTAAAAAGTTCAACCATTATTCATCATCAATGATTTAGCTCATTATTCGTAAATAAGCCTATTTATCTATAATTTAATAATATTATGAATGTTTAAAAAATTGACCAGTGACCATAGTACTACTTTAACTATTAGCATACAATATATTATGTAAGTATCACTTTTAATGATAAATTAATAATCCAAGTTCAAATTAACTTTACCTATCACTTTTTACTGCCATATAATACCCCACTCAAACCTACTTAAAATGGATCAAATTTACTGTATTATGCGGATAAAATTCTTTATTTAAAAAGCCCACCTGATTTACTGATAAATGATATTAAAATTCAAAAAAGTTTCTAAACTCGGTTTATTATTATCCCGCTTACATAGAAAATGTTGATTACGAGTTGATCCTATATCTTCATCCCGAAAGCATGTGTACCTGTTTTTATTCCACGGTAGAAGGTTTTTCAGAAACTTTATTCAATAATTTAACACAACAAAATTAATTTAAGTATAATAAATTTTGTATTATTATCAGTAAAATAATAAAAAATAATTTAACTACTTAATATGTCTTATTCCAATTATATTAATTTAAATATCTATTATTATTATTTATTTTTCAACAAGAAAATGAACACTTTGTTCTTAATTATTATTTAACAAAAATACACAATACGTATAATTAATGAAATTAATAATAAACACTACAAGAGGATAGTTAGAATATAATTTTAACAATACTAAGTTATGCCTTATGTGTGTATAGTATTAATCATTAATTTTATGCGGTTTGTTTTTTAATTTACTTTTCTCTTCATTCTTATATAATTTAACTTCCACAGCTAAAGTTTACTATCGTAGTGTTGCTTCATTGTTTGAAACTTTAAACCTTAAATTTGGTTGCCCCAAACCTTTCACTCATTATTCGTGACATATTTTTTTTCGCTAGGCTATCTCGTTTATCGCTTTTGTTACATACAAACCGTTTTTTTACTTTTTTTTATTTGTATTAACTTTTAAAGTTTCAACTTTTATTATTTTTCATTGGCTTACAGTGTGGTATGTAAAAAATATAGAAATAAAAAGCTAAGATTTTCAAAAAAACCATAGGTACATATTATAGCCATTTATATTTTTTTATTTTTTTTTTATTAAATTATGCGCTATATATAATATTAAATTGACTCAAGTAAGCGGCTACAGGAGGCACAAGCATAGTCGACTTAAAATAGACTTTGTTTATTTATTCAAACTTTCTTTTTTTATTAAATTTTACACACACAAAATATACATACTATATAATAAAATACTTTGTAGCTGCAACGTATACAACGACGAACGATCCATTATAATAATAACACTATTAACTGTAGTAATAACAGTAATTTTACAACATATACATTATTATAATAGCAGAAAAATTTTAATTAATTTTTCTAAAGATTTTATAGTTAGTTTTGACGTATATGATTTTAAAGGTGGTATTTACTTTGATATTTAATATTATAATAATATTTAAATATCAATAATAATTGTTCATTAAAAGGACGCTACATAGGAATTTGTTGTCTCCGTCTTCCAAATACTTAACATATTAAGTTTACGCTTAAAATATCAGGTTTAACTTCATTAATTTAAAAATTTAAGTAAATCGATCTATAATGAGACTTGATGGTAAGAATATTTTCGATCTTTGTAAGTGGGTTTTTACGTTAATTCATTTTTTAACAAGTTTTGCGTGTGTAAAATATAGTAAATTAAAAATGCTCATAACGCACTTATGCTATATTATGAATTTATAAGATGGAGACAACAAATGCCTATGTAAGGTTCTCTCAAATAATAATTCTCAATCTGATGTAATCGAGTATAATAATTGAATTAAGTTTTAATCATAGTTTGATAAATACAAGTCAGTGGTCTAGTTATCGAGGCGTAACAAAAAATAAATAATATTATATTATAATTAAGTATTAACACGTATTTGTGTATTTAATACTTATTTCATCGACGTTGTTTTTATAACACAATTTTCCAACATATTTTAAACAAACTATTTTATAAGTGTTATAACGTTGCTTAATACTTTTACTTGGAGTAAAATTATTTAAACCCCTTGCTTATAAGAACAAATTGATTTAGCTGTTTGAAAGTTGAAACAGCTAGATGTAAAAAAAAAATATATAAAAATATAATTAATAAAAATTTAAAAAAATTAAAACGTAATAATAACTCAACATTATAATATTGAAAGAAAAATTAAGAAATATTAAAAATATTATAATTACAATGTGGTATACTTTAGACAATTCTGCGTAAAAATGGTGTTTTAGCACTATTATTATAAATATGCTCTTGCAACTATTACTGTGTAGCGATCAAATGTAAACATTTAATACAAACGGTTTTTTATATGATATATATCACCTATAAATTATGGTATCTATAATACGTAATGTATATAAAAAAAAATAATAAAGTGCGATATAATATGAAACCATTACTCAGAATAATAATCTGCATATCATTGGTTTATATATATATGTATTACACCTTACTAGCGAATTTATCTAATTCATAGAAAAGACAAATTTGCTAATAAATTAATAGATTTCCGATTTCCGATTTAATGAATTTACTAAATCTAGTAATATACAAATATTTTCAATGTTAATAGAATTTATTAAAACGATATTTTTAATAAATTAGTAATTATCATAAATTTAATATTAATTATTATTTACTTATTTTTTAGTGAATAAAATAAAATGAAAATATATTTAACTATTTTAAAACCGTTAACTAATTAAATATTTGTAATAAAAATACACATTAGTTAATTAAAGAAGTACAGATTTACATAAAATGTACGTTTTTTGGTTTATTTTCTGTATTTTATATTCATATTATTTAATCTCCTCTAGTCGTTTTTAATAAATTTTGTGCATTTGAAAAATACGATAGGTAATAATAATTCATTGGAGTAGTTTCAAGATAAAATTTAAATATTAAAAATAAACCAACTGATGAACTTTATTTCGTGTTATAAAACTGTAAATGTTGCTTATTGTTGATAATACCTATTTCTCAAAATAATTTTAAGTATTGAGCTATATTTCTAAATTATCGCTGGCCTTGTTCGTTTAATGAATAGTACTTTTAATGTCCAATTCATGAAATGAAAAATTTACTTGATAATTTCACGGAATAGGAAAAAATAAAAATTATCAATTGTACGTGGAATCGCAGAAAATATTTCACTTAATTAATATTTTATATACAACAGTTTTAATATTTCTTAATTTTTTTTATTAATATTTTATACCGATCTATTTTGGGCATATTATAATAAATATATATCACTTTTTTGGTATGTTTTTTAATTTTTTATAACTGTACTATTTGTATTTATTTATTTTAATTTGACATTCAATTATTTCTAAGTTCAAATGGCCACGCCCAATTGGTTACATTATCGCCTACTTAAAAATCCTTAAATTATTTCACTTCTCTTTGTTTTTATAATTTCGTATATACACACACTTCTTTTATTTCATAATTTCTATAGATTAGGAAATTTTTTCCGAAACTCCATTAACCAATTATAAATGTATATAATACGAGTAAGTTAATGTGTTCATAGATGAATAAAATATTATATTAATTTCAATTTCAATTAAGTATTGAGAAAACCTTGATCTTGTTTTTATACTATAATTTATATCAGGCAAAGCCTTGCGAATACTAAGTTTTGTCCGGTTATGTCAGGTAAATTTCTTCTAGCCTTAAATTAATGGTTAGTTCGATCAGCAATGCAATATGGATCGATAGTGCGGTCCTCTGAAACAGCTCAGGATAAATTACGTATCAAACGTGCATAGAATCACTTGCTTAGAGTGATTGCTCGATGTATGAATATAAAACACAAACCACGTGACTACCAATCCGTTTAGAATATCAACTTTAGATAGTCGTAGGAATGATGCTGATGTTAAGTTTTTAAATAATATAGTTTTTATTAGTATTCTAGAGTTGGATTTCAAAAAGCGATAATGGGTATTAGAACTCATGAGAGATATCATGTATCTATGGTACGAACAATAACTACCTAAAGGCTAATCTTAAGGAAAGCCATGTTTCGGGAAAACCATAACGACATTTTTTGTAAAATCGTATTTTTATATTGATAATGTATTATTTTTATGTGTAAATGTCCTAGTATTTATTAAAAACAAAAGCTGATGTAATTTATTAATTTAAAAAAATAAAATAAATAGTTATTATTTATTTATAGAAAACATAATAGCCAAAGCCTTAAAATCATGATAATACCTAAATAATATGATTATTACTTATTAGTAAGTACGGTTATTATATTAAACGTGTTCCTATTAACAGACTTCAACTGACGGAAACTCGACGACAAGTGTATTGACGTTTGTACCTGTTAAGCCAACGACCAAATCACGTTATCGAGAACCCGGAGAAGCTGACGAGCATAGAATACCTGATTATGACGGCAGGTTAACTTGTAGGGCCGAAAACCCACAGCACCAACTGTCGACGTCCCAGCGTAAGCACACAATAGCGGGTGGTAGTGATTCGTCTGATGATGCTGGAACACCTTTCATACAAAGCACATGGTTGTTACGTATACAATGTGAGTATTGTAGTGGAATTGTATATAAATGACTTATTATTTTATTCATACACGCAAACAGCTGCACATGTTTCTCAATAGCTACTACACCTGTACAAATATATGGACTGTTCTATAAATTATTTATTATTAGGACTAAAGTTTGCAACTAACCATGAAACCGTATTGGGTAATGAAAGGATAAAGGATTCGTTTACTATTTTCTTGTTCGAAGTTGTTATCGTAAAAACATTCCGAATCAATATTCTTAAATTTTAAATCCAATAAAGATATATTTATTTCGAGTTGACTTAACTATAATATATAGTTCTAGAAGAAAACTTAAATAACTACTCCGTTTTTAGTAGATATATCATGTCGTAAACAAGATGTTCTGTACTTTTGTTATCTATTAGTAATAACCATAAAATTTTAAAATACCTATATACATTTTCAAATAATTTTATAACTAAGGTTTATTTATTACACTTATTGAACGATCAGCATAAAATGTCTTTATTTGTCAGCGAAAAAGTACAAAAATTATAACTTGTTTTATATCTTAAACTTATAGATTAATAAATATGTACGTAAATAATAATTATATATTATTTATTGATTATTATATATACACTTATTAAGTATTGTATTTGTCGTTTTAATAATTAATATGACTGTGAGTACTGGATAGTTTAAAATACACATTTATATTTTAAATAAATCAATTGATATTGATAATTTAATTATTTGTGATAAAAATAAAAATGTAGAATTCCTAAAATCAGTTTACATTGATTTGTTACAGTTATAATATGTCTACTCTTAGTGTCTCTAATATGCAAACTAAAAATTAATATAAATCATTTTTTTTTTCTCATAAAGTTGGCTTAAAATTTTTGATGAATTAAGTCTTAAAATTAAATAAATACATAAAACTTAAAAATATCGAAATAATTAAACCAAATAAAAATAATATATCACATCTTCTACGTAAAATATCATTTTTTATACTCCTCAATAAAATACAATGTTTGATAAATCTATTTCTTCAATATTTTATGATGTGTAAACTTATAGTAGAATTTAAGTGTTATTTTTAATATTTATATATATTAGTATTTTTTTAAACAACAGTAATATACTAATGCACAACAGCTTAGTGTAATTTATAAGGTCGTAAGCAGTAAGCTATTAATTACTATAGCAGTTACACAATTCATTATTTCTATGGCAACGTTTAGTTAGGTCCAGATCATGAAATGGCAGAAAATGTACCAATCTTTTGAAATGGGAAATATCACGTTTTGTGTATAAATATTTATATGAACATTATGTAGCATTAAATAATTCAAACTTACTTAAAGCAAATACATCATTCAGTTTGTATTGTACCGAGGTTGTTTAGTATCGACCTAGATGGTAAAACGTAAAGACGTTTAATCAGTAACTTATTATTATCTACCATGTCGACGTATCTAGCTTCCGAATGTGTATACCTATAGTTAAAATAGTGATTTGTAGAGATGCAAACAATAAATAATTTTACCAAGTAAGTTTGACCGACTTTTTTTATGTTTTATAAAATATAGAAACGTTTAAAGTTTTAAAAGTTTTAATTATTTATTGAAAGAACAAAATTAATTTTAATATATTATTTACTCTAGAAAACTATATTCTACACTGTACCTTTTATTATTAATTTTGAATAATTTTAACCCTCGAAACCTGAATCTTGATATATAACCTTTTCATGATAATGTATTTAATTTGTAATTATTGTAGTATAATATATTATATTTTTATACATGAATAAATTAAAAATTTCGAGATTCACTGATAATGGAACTTCGAGTTAATACAAATTACCAATTTACCGAAGTTAATTGCTTTTTTGAATTATGAAATTGTTATCTTTTATTCTTTACTTATTTACTATATTGAGTATTTTCTGGAAATTTAGTGCATAATTAATGATTTGATGATAATTGGACGTTTCACTATTCAAAGATTAGCTAGGGTTTCTGTAATTTGCATTGAATGTCATGTCAACTTAATGTTCTCCAGAAACTTCAACACAGACACATATTTTCTCAAATGACAATTCAAGCAATTAAAATAGAATGAATGTTAATTCAATTACGAAACAGTTAGCAAAAAGATGAACTTGTAGTTTAACCGTTCGCTTAAAATGCGTACTTGATTAAGTGTAATACTATAATACTGTATGCTTTTTCTGTTTTGCTTACATTTCAAAAGAGCACGTTACGGAGATAAATATAATATAGTTGTTGATAAAAGGATAAAAGATGCACCATGCACAAAATACGCCCATAATATCTTGTAAGAAAAACTTTACTACAAAATTGAATTTAACTCATATAGTAGCTAACAATTTAATAAAAAGATGAGAAATCAGGATTTACTGTTCATTTAACTAATTAATATATTATTATCGTATAAATGTATACGATACATATATGTATTATAGCAAATATTCTTATAATTTTACATACTTAAATTACATTGAAAAATATCTGTATATATCATTTATGTAAATAGATATTGAATAATAAATAGGTACATAAAAATATAACTAAATGAGGTAAATAAAATAAGAAATTGCTTTAAATAAAACGATTTTTGAATAAAAATGTTATTTTTTTAATACTTTTTATTCGTATTTAGATATTGTTACAGTTCATTCTTATCTATTATAGAAATGGTAAGAAAATATTATTCTCTGTTAGTTGTCTTTTTGTTTACAATGAATATAATATACCTTTTTATATTACAGTGTAAAAATAAATAATATTGCTAATAATGAAATCTCAATGATATCATATTGATATATTTTAATAGCATATTTTTATTAATAAAAAGAGCGGTTATTCTATGTTTTATAGTCATAAATAATATAGTTATAATTAAGATCTAATTGTTATTAACAAATATAATAAAATTTTAATTACTTGATGAAAATTAATATTTTTTTTTATAGGTATTTCAATAAAAACTTTTATGTTATTTATTTTCAAATCAAATGTGTATTTAATAACTAATTATTATTTTGTTACAATTAATTAAGTACTTTATTTATTTTATAGTATTAATTTAACTCAATTTTATAGTCAAAAACATAATTAATTGTAATTGAAAATGAGATAGATAATACTGGATATTTTTATACTTCTAAAATAATGTTCTACAATTATTTTGTTTATTAAAATACTCAATTCTAAAATTATAATATACTTATTATTGTTAGTATAATACATATTACGTATATTTTAATAACATACTCAGTTTTAAAGGCTAGACATAAATGCCTTAATTATAAATACTCATAACATGCTACTTTTAATGGTGTTATTCTATAGAATTTAAAATTTTATTAAGTATAGTAGATGATAATAAAGTTAGGTCTATATAAAGTTATGTTATTAATAGTTAAATACTTATTAGCATGTTAGTTGTTACCTAAATATTTAGTTTATCGTTAAATTGTATATTCTATCTAAATCATTAAAACAAAAATTGAAGAACAAAATAGACTTTATAAAATAATAATACTTGCTATATGGTAGAATAATGCCGCAAACTTGTAAGTTTCAGGGGAGCGGTATTCGGATTTGTTTTAGTGTTTATAGACAGTTCTCAGTAAATTGTACCTACCAAGAAACTTAAGTTCAGTTGTTTACGACATATCTAGTTTCTTCCTATAAATTATTACTTCTAACAGATCGTTAGAAGTTTGTACAGGAAATAGGTACTTTCAGACTTTACTATTATTCTAGAGATTATATTCTACTTATTCTAATCACGTCGTTTCCTTAATGTTTGAACTGATCGTGTGTATTTTATTTTCTAAAAAATCTTTGTCATTCTAAATCTTGGAAATTAATGTATACTATCTAACTATCCTCAAGTGACTATATAAATTGTTCTCATTATGCAGAGCCAGTTTTACTTTTTGCTATATTTTCAATTTATTCTTTGATTACTGTAATTATAATAATTAACTACAGACTTTTTTTTGTACTTACAAAAATAAAAAATATTAGTGTATAATATTAATTTTAATCTTTCTTCGAGCTATTTGATTATTTACACAGATTGCTAAAATTGTGGTTGTTTTAATCGATTAATTGAAAGATATATATTTTATTTAAATAATACATTCAACATTACAAACATTGCCATCAATTAAGTTTTGTGAATCTGAAAGTGGAAAGTAGATATTTACTGGTAATACTATTAAAATTTACAAGTACTATAAATTCAAATATTAATTAAAAATAGTAATTATTCTTATACATTTAAGTTACAATGTAGTAGTAAATGATAAAATATTTTGAAATATATGGGTTGTATTATATGTTAATATTAAAATTTTATATCACATTTTTTGTTAGGTATCTTAGCTTGTTTTATCGTATATTCCAACTAATTCTTAAGATTAGTGTTAAATTATGTTCTCAGATTAGCTTTATAGATCTTTACAAAATGTAAACTGTCCATAGTATGTGGTTAACTCAATAATTGTAATAACTATTATTAACTTTAGAACTTACAATATTTACTAAATTACTAGTAAACTTGACTTAAACTTATAATTTACTGATACTTAATATTTTATATACCTAATAGGTATCAAAACTAATGAAATAAAATATTTTTCGTAGACCTTATAGGTATTAATTAAACTAAAATTATTATTTGTTTATAAATTATGACAAAATATAAAACATTTTTGTTCTTATACTGAACAAAGTATTGATGAAACTTAAAATAAAATTGTTGTTAAAGTACATATTTTACGGATTATAAATGTAATTATATTTTATTTTTATTGTTAAATAATCTAAAAAGTAAAATGTAAGCTAAAGATTTTTGAGATTTGGGTTCTTAAATTCAAAATATAATATTATATTTACAAAAAATTAAGGTACAAGTAATCTAAAATACATGAAAATTTAATGTTTTGAAAAAATGAAAACTGGTCATTGTATTATACATGAGAATTTAAAAATAACAAGAAATATAAACATGGAAATATTATTCTGAAAACAATGTATAATGCTGAACTTATACAATAGACAAACTTTGCTTTTTTGGTTTATTACCATAACCATACAATATAAAACTAACACACAAGTATAAATCAATATATATTACGGTGAAGGTAACGTATTTTTTAAACGTACGTTCCGTCAATTCACCTTTTTAAAAAATGTATCATAAAATACATACTATACGTTATAAGTTACCGTATATATGTATGTATTTTACGCGTACACTAGCTACTGTTGGTCGGCTTTACTACGTAAAACTGTCATTCTGTCATCCCGCAACGCTGCGCTGCTATAGCTCGTCATTGTCGTTATGTCCGGACCATTTCTCGTTGAACTCTGTCGCCGTGCCAATTTCGTATAAAGAAAAAGTGTGTTCTGCGTACATAAAAAATAAGTTAACTCACAATGTCTCGTCGTTTATTATGATAAAAACTATACAGAGTCGGTGGCATGAATAGTAAGGCCATTTTTTATTGTATATATACGAGACGGGTAGGGTTCCCATCCGCGTCGTGGTCAATCGGTCGTGAAATTGCTCTTCCACCCCTCTCATCGTCTCGTTATTCAAACGCTACCCTGCCTGCCAAAAAGTTAAGTCACCCAGTTAATAAGTTACCGTTGCTGATACTATAGTAACTATTGGGGATTTAAAAAAAAAATATTATTGAACAGATCATATTATAATAAATTGCATAGGTACGTAATTCGTTGGCAACGATAACACAATATATTGTATGGTACGCATCATATCTTTTACAGGGCTTAATGCTGTAAATAACTATCAGTTTTAAATAGTACATACCTAAAATATATCATTTTCTAGATGTTCCCGAGACTCAAATCACATTGGGTACAAACTTACGAGCAGATGACATACGTGAAGGTACAGATGTTTATTTTGATTGTACAGTGGATGCGGTGCCGCCTGCATATAAAGTCCAATGGAAACGAGATGTACGTTATTAAATTATAATATATTTTACAACATTAAAAATGCAAACCATTTATATAATTTAAATATATAAATAAAATGAATTCCCATTGAAAATTACAATATAATACAATATACAACATTATTTCAAAAAGTTCATCATTTTAAATATTATGAAAATCTCTTAAATTATTTATAATTAATAATATTTTATTAGAGTTCATTTTTGTTTTTAAACATTAAACGTTATGTATTATCAATTTATCTGCTTTCAATATCTTAGGGCGTTGAACTTCATCACAATGCTGGCGGAAGTGGTTCGATAACTGGAAGCGGATCAACCACAACAATTATTATCAGTAATCAGTCATTGGTGTTACAAGGAGTCAGTCGCCGTGAGTCGGGTCATTATACATGTGGTGCCGAAAATGCTGAAGGTCCCGGACCTCATAGCAAGTCTATTTACCTTGATGTTCTCTGTAAGTTTCTATTCATATATGATAATTATCAATGATAAATATTTTATTAAGTGTTATTTTAAAATAAAAAAAAATTATGCTTAAAAAAGTTTATGAATTTATTTTAGACGCTCCGACGTGTACACCGAGTAATAGTGCTGGGAAAGCTGTTCAACGAGTTGTTTATGGTGTAGCAAAAAAAGAAACCGTAACGATTGCTTGTCATGTACAAGCTAATCCTCCACCAACAGAATATCGTTGGTCATTCAACAATACAATTTCTTCAATTGCTACTGGTGGTGGTCCTGGGTCGACTTCAACGGGATCATTAATAAAACAACGATTCAGTAGTATTGGAAATTTAGCTGGTTCGTCTTTGAATTCATCAAGAGTTTTAACTTATGCACCGAGAACAGATTTTGACTATGGAACGGTTGAATGTTGGGCTCGAAACCGAGTGGGTATGCAAGCACATCCCTGCGTCTATCACGTTATTGCTGCAGGTCAGTAAGCAAAAGTGCCTATATTATTTGTATTAACATATTAACTATGTTATGTTTTAATATATTTATCACTTAACATTTTATACAAATAACCTATTTATTAACTATTATATAAATATTTTTTACAGGTCGACCAGATCGTGTAACTAATTGTACAGTAGTGAACTCTAGAGCTGCCATAAATCTAAATGGTACAAGAAGATTAAGAAGTTCCAAAAACTCAGGATCTCACATTTTTATAAGATGCACTGAAGGTTACGACGGTGGCTTACCTCAACGTTTATGGGCTGAAATCAGAGAGGATTCTAAAGTCCAACATTCGGACTTAGGTGGCGATGATTTAAGTGGAGATTTAGTACTTAATGTCACAGGTATTGATGAACAAGACCAACCAGGTTTCTCAGATTTAAATTCGGATGAAAATAAAAAATCGGAAAATGCAGCTTCCCCACCAGTAAAAGTATTTGTTGCAAGAGGATTGAAACTAGGAGCTGTTTATAGAGTGGATGTGATGGCTAGTAATGCCAAAGGGAGGTCAGAACCATTAACATTAATGGTATCAATACCAATGGGGATGACGGCAGTTGATTCTAATGAACAAAATCAAAATGGAATTTCAAATACAATGACCACAATTGAAGGTCAAGATCCTGACAGAGCTCGAAATTTACTACTGGAACAACAACGAGAACAAGAACGTGGTATGTACTATTTAAATATTGATAAAATAAAAAAAAACCAAGCTTAATTTAAACGTGCATTATTTTTTCATAAAAAAATATATAATATTGGTATACATGCGTGTTTGATAAACCGTGTAAGATAGTGTTTACAAAATAGTATATTTTAACAAGTTTTTCAATATTTTTTTTTAAGTAGTTAGAATGTAGTATATTATTATTAATAAAGTATACTTGTTTTAATGTATAATATAAATTAATCAAATAAAAAAAAGATAATTATTTATTTTTATATTTTAATTTAATTAAAACAACAGATATTTTAACCTATTAAATGTATTTAATTAAAAATCTCATAAAATACAAATGAAAGTAATGTAGTATAACAATTAGGCAAAAAATAGAAGTATTCAAAAATACCGTAGAAAGTAAAAAAATTATTTACAATGAAATATTAAACAAATAAATCAATATAAATAGCATTCCCTGCGGTTAATTAAAAATCTTAAGCCTAATTAAAAAGTGTACATTTATATTATTTAGTGAGAATCGTACCTGCAGTATCATTGAATATTTATACGTTAACAGTTTTCTTCATATACTATTTATTTACAGAAGCCGGTAACAATTCTCTTGTGTAACTACAGTCAATGTTGTCACTCTATAAATTAGTTTTCCCTCGCTACAATCAAGTTTATTATATCTAGAGCGGTAAAAAGCGCCTGTTACACTCTAGGTAACACTATTGCCTCTTGTGATTTTTATCCCCTTTACCTACCCTAGAGAATAAATTTATAGAAGGGGGAGGGGGGTTATAATTACATGTTATAAATATGTCTAGTAGTACAGCAGTATTAATTAAAAATGCAATTATATGTATAAATTTACACGTTACAACACCAACCGGAGGAGACAAAAATTCAAAAGAGTTTATTGCATTCGGTTTAAAAATATCTATATTATAAAGTACATTAATACAGTATATCCTAAGCGACCTAAGCTAACATGAAAGTAACTTAGTATGATACTTTATCATTTATAGTATTACAAATCAATAAATCTAGTAAACACAAAAAACATGTACTATTTTTATTTTATATCGTCTATTCATTATTATTTACATTAATTATTAATAACTAAAAATGAAATCGTAAGATTGAGTTATGAAGAATATATTCATCCTAAATACATAATATTACAATTCATACATCATTTTCAATTATTAAGTACAAAATAAATACTTTTAGGCTAAGTACAAAATTTAATATATTTTTATAACATTTTAATGAATTATTCTAATTTATTCTGTCTACACGTAATAGAATTAACAATAATAGTTGATAGTAGGTATATCATAGGTATACACTATTACAAAATATAATAAAATGTACCTATATTGTATTTATAATATACATTATACAATAATTTATTGTAATTATTTTGCTGATTTAGTTCAAAGCTTTAGAAACTTAAGTGAAATTTTATTTCATAATACATAAGTTATATTATTTAATTTATATATTATATCTACATTCTAATTACTTCTAAACTTTTAAAGTTTCAAACCTGTTTTTCATTCTCATTGATAATTTTAATTATATAATCACTCTTATTCTTACAAGAAACATGTACATAATTATATACATTATGTACTTTTAAATATTCGATAACCGGATGATACTCCGCGAGTAAAAAATTTAATTTTAGAAATTTAAAATAATTTATTAAATAATAAATACTTGACAATTTAAAAAAATAAATAATACTTACATAATAATTTTATATTATAATATTTAGATAATTCACAACAAATTAATTGCAATTTTTGTAACGTTATATTATTAATACATCACACAACTAACTGCATATGCAGTCTATGCAGTCACACTCGTAAGACGAACATCAGTCCTATAATTTGAGACACTTAGTGCCAGAAAGCCCATTATACCAATTTAATCCACCAAACATGTATATAATAATAGGTAGGTACCTATTATAGTTGATAATTAAATTGACCAAACCCTTTATAAAAATATTTTCTTAAGTAAAAACAGTTTATTGAAATACCAGATAAGCCTTAAATAAATATTCACAAGATAATCATACTTATCCGATTCTCGAAGGATTAGGACCATGCGGACCTGTTATGTAATTTTAGGTCTAAACATCTTAGATGAAAATTGTAAATAGTATTATTTAAAGACTATTAAATAATCCGCGTCTTTTAAAACGACTCAGTTTTAGGGTACTTACATAATAACACCAGATTTATAGGTACTACAGGTTAGTGGTACTAACATTGCGAATAATGCACCCCTGACTAGGATTAATCGAGATTACAATGATTCCTTTAAGAACACAGATTATTCTTTTTTTCTCCCGTTATGTTTTTGTTTCTTTTTGTGATTTACAGTTAATGATGAAAACAACTTAAAGCCGTTCGGCATTTATTTCGCGAGAATACATAAATAATATAGTTAATGCAGCGGGGCTGAATAATTGTACACGCTATTAATCGTATTATTATACGAGCGCGTATCAAGCGTAATTTTGCGTGTCCGGCGTTGCTAATCGAGAGCGGGGGGGGGGAGTTTTTTCGAGATCGGAGGCTGCAAGAGAACGGCGGCGGCATGGGTGACTTTCGGATGACGCGGGCCATGGCCATCGTGCTGCTCGTTGCCGGGTCGCTGGTGGTGGTCGCTTGCGGAGCGGCCACGTTCCTGCGGTACCGCCGGGACGACGACGACGACGACGACAACGACGAAAACGACCGGGACAACGGCCGCGGACCGGAACGGACCGTGGTGGACGCGAGCACGGTTTGCATCGCCGGGCCCAAGCCGGAAGGACCGGTGCACTGTCAGCCGGCCAGCGCGGACGGTGGTTGCGCGGTGCCGCCGCCGCCGCCGAACGGCTCGATGCCGAACAACAACAACAACAACGGGGGCGCGAACAACAGCGGCGGCAAGAACGTGACCGCGTCCGACGGCGGCAAGGAGTTCCACTGCGGCGGCAACGTGGTCGGGGGCCGAGTGGTCGGCGGCCTGCAGAGGATCTGCAGCAACACGATCGGCAGGGGCGGCGCGGTCCCGGTGGACGCCACTTGCGCGGACGGCGGTGGACCGCTACAGGACTCGGTATCCGGGACGCCGATCGCGCTCGTCCCGCCGTCGCGCGCGTCCCCGACGACCCTTTTGCGCGGCACGCCGTCCTCCAACAGCGCGCAACAGCAGTACGGCGCTACGTGCAAGCCGCCGTTACAGCAGAAAATGTCGCTGTCGGGTTCGGCCACCTTCGACCAACCGGGACCGGGACGAATGCCGCAGTCGTACCACAGCAAGAACCCGGACATCATTCCGGCGCCGCTCATGTCGCCCGGCAACGTTTACAACAACTACAACGGCGGTAAGCATCCGTGTCGGTTTTCTCTGTCTTATAATAATATTATGTTCTATACCCGATAAAAGTATTCGATTAAATTTCACGCAGATGGTTTTTTTAAAAAAAGTGTTTGAATAATCGGTAAAAAAAAAATAATAATAATAATAATAAAAGAGTACAAATCACAGCATTCATAAAAATGCTTGACGTTGATCGATTATTGTTCGTCAACGAAACGGCCGCTATTTGTTATCGAAGAGGTGAATGTTTGTGTTGTTACTAATGCAAATAAAGACGTTTGAAATGGATTAAATAATGTTAATATTATTATGTTAAAATGACTGATATACTCGTATAAAAAATATATTCATATAGGTATCTGTGAATAGAGCCGCACTTTAAAAGTATCTTATCACTTGTCATAACAGTTTAATTTGTAAACACTCACAAATATTTTTTAGCATTTTTTTATGTTCTACATTACATGAATTCACAGATAATTTGTTCCTCGTATCATTCAGTGTGACTTTAAATTGCTCATATGTTTTCTTCCAAAAATTATTTAATTTTTCGATTAGGTATAAGTCGCACAAAACGAGTATATTTTATGCATTACGCTACAGTAGTCTATAGAAATATTCTAATAATTGTTTTTAAAAATATTTTATTTTATATTTTGTAAGCAATGACCGTTCTTATTTTTTATACATCAATAATTTACTGTGAAAGTATTTATTGTACAGAACACTAGACCCACTTTATGAATTCGTATCATAAATAGTAATAAAATTGAATTTGTAATATTTTATATTTTAGTGTGGATCACATTCACTGACTCAAAGATATCCATTTCTCATTTTTTTTTTTTTTTTACATGATTTAATTAGTATTTAAATACAGATACTTTGAGAAAGTTTCTAAAATATTTTTTTCCAAGTACTATTTTCAAACGAATTTAAAATATATATTTGAATACTTAAAAAGTATTTGAATTATTTTACTTAAGTACTTTACAAAACTTGATATATTTAACTACAATTAAATGCTATATTATCATTTTTGACTTATTCACTAGGGTTCAACTATTGAGGAGATGCTAATGATGGTCCTTGAGCATCTCCTTTAAATTCGATCCTTAATCTATAATCATACATTTTTAAATGTATCATGATTCATAGTATCATACACTATACATGTTATGCTATGATTAGTTATTACGTACAAATCGTTCACGTTCTATGAAATTGTCAATTGATACCGAAAATTGGACCTATGTAGCCAAATATCCTTTTTAGGTGTAACGTTGAAAAGCTTAAAAATAAAATATTTTACCTTGTAATAATAATATAATTATTATATATGAGAAAATAACTGAACATGACATTTTAGATTATGTTGATTCCGACGGTTAAACAAAAAAAACGAATTATACATTCGTATAAAAAATGTTCTTTTTGAGTATAAACAAGTGAACTGTCATGAAATTTAAAATTTTATTATTATTTTTTATACAAAAGTTATAAAATATACCATTTGAAATATGTACAAAAATTCAACTTTATTGGTATTTTGGTAAGTTATACAAAATTTTAAAACTATCATTCTGGATCGAGTTACGCTTACGATTTATAACACTGAAATTACTATTTTTATTGTAATGTTGTCAAAGACGAATAACCTAAATATTTTTTTATTTCACAAACGAAAGCATAGTAAACATTTTTACGAATATTGAAGTATGAATACCAAATAGATAGTTATTTTTATTAACAAACATTTAAAGTTTGAACGAGCAGAGTACAATTAAAAAGAGGCTCACGTACGTCGTACACATCACAAGTATTCTTGGTTCGACAAAATAATTAAAAAAAAATCCACTATTGTAAAAATAATAAAAATTAAATTCTGTCTAAAATAATGGTCTTATGAATATTGTTTTCTTTAAAAAAACAAAAATGTCTTAGAAATTTGATTTTTATAACACATTAGATGTATATATATATATCTACAAAAAACTATTTATAATTTTAGTCCATCACTACATATTATTTTCCTCATTATTTACATTATAATATTTACAACGAAATAACTTTGGTGTTTTACAGATCATGGTGACCCAGTTGACTCCATGACTCATATTATGGCTTCGTCTACGTCGTCATCTCCGATACACAACCACCGTCAACAGCAAGTCCACCACCAGCACAACCGTTATAACCCACCAGGACAATACCAACCGGGCGTCATGACGCTCCGTCGGCCCGTCGTTATCAATACGCAATATTATGGTGGAGGTAATCTTCAAAGACACAACCAACAACCATCCGATGTAAGTACCAAAAATCAATAGAAAAATGACAATTAACTTAACGCGTATATTTGTCTAATATTTGATCTGATACACATTGATTTGTTAAAAAATAATAAATTGATTTTAAAGTAATAATGTTTAATTACTTATTTACTTCTATAAAGTAAAAGAACTTCTTCTTACTCTAAATGAAACTATTACCTTTTTACTTTTACATCATAATAATTACCACAAGGCACAAAGTTTATAAACTACAAAACCTAGTATAACGTTTAGAAACAGTTCTTACAATTATTAGGACACTGCTAGCCCATTTCTATAGGGATCACAAATACGAAAATACGAGTAGAACCAGTACCGTGCTAACCATCAGTGGCGCCCTAGGGCAATTAAATTTGGCGCCCCTAATCTCAAGTGGTTGTAAGAGAGAGGAGGGAAATTAGACATTTTCTTAAAGCACCCCAAAAATCGAAACTATTCAAAATGTTATTATTATCCGGTCACTTCACATTGAATTATTTATATTTATAATAATTAATAAATAAACAAGTAAAACAACTTAATTAATAAACAATGAATTTGGTTAGGAGGTAGTAAGAATAAATGTATAAAAACATGAATAACAACATTTTTTTTTTATTATAATATTGAATAACGAGTTTATAAATAACTTTATACAAATGTTTTTTTTCTAGCTTTAAGTTTTGAGAATTTTTTAACAAGACTTGTCCAACTGATATTCTTGACAATTTCATTTTCAATACATAATATTGATAATGCTGATGTTTTCTCATTTGATAATGATGACCGTAAATAGTTTTTAACTCTCTTCAAAACACAAAAGGACCTTTCTCCACTGGCATTAGAACATGGCATACAAATAAATAATTTTAAAGCAATTTCAACATTAGGAAAAGTTGTGTTTAATGATGGATTGTTATTAAGGTATTTTAACATTCCTTGCATGTTTTTGGTTTCGTTGGGAAAATTTATTATGTATTTTTTAAATTGAACGATTTCTTCAACAAATTCTACTTCTAAATCATTAACATAATACTCCACAAGCTTTAATGCTTTTTTACGTAGTTCACTTGCCTCAATATTTTCCATATCAGAAAAAAATCCGAATTTGTCACATAGCTTTGTATATGCTTCTTTTCTTTCATTTAGTTGAAGAATCAATGCATCCATTATAGGAATAAAAGCTTCATTCTTCATTTTGTCTGAATTAGAAAATATAACTTCACCACTAGGCTCTTCATCAAAAAATATATTTCTGCGTTTAGTTCTAGTTTCCTCCCAAGAAAATTTGTTTATGCCACTAATTTTTATCGCTTCACTTAAAAATATTTCAAAATTGTTTCTTTGCTCTTGAATATAACATACTAATGAATCATATAGAGAAACTACACACGACAAATCAATATTAATTAACTGAAGACTTTTGGAAGTTTTGTCAAATCTTTCTAAAAGAGGCGTCCAAACAACTAAAAGAAAGACAAAATCTAATGATTTTATTTTATTGTAAATTGATTTGGCTTCATGTTTAACTGCATTTCGTTGATTTAAATCATTATATATTATTTCTAAAGCAGCGAGAATTCCAACATATCCATTTTTAATTGATTTACAAACAGAGTGCCGTGATGACCAACGAGTAGGGCACAAGTTTTTTAGAAGTTGAGCATTAGGAATTTGATCTAACTCTTTCGATAAAGTATTCCACCTCGAGGTAGACGCAGAAAAAAAAGTATATAGGTTTTGAGCTCTCAAAAAAAATGTATTTCCCATGCTGGTTAGTTCTGCAGCAAATGTCCCAACTAAATTTAAAGAATGGGCTGAGCATGGTACAAATTCTGCTGTATTTGATTTTTGCTTAATCCGTGCTTGTAAACCATTATAGATGCCTGACATATTATTAGCGTTATCAAACGACTGACCTCTGCAATTTATCATATCAATGTCCAAGTTTTTAAACATTTTCATTAGTTCCAATTCCATTTCTTTTGCTTTGTGACCAACTGAAGGAAGAAACCCTATAAATCTCTCTACAGGTGAACCATCTTTGCAAATGTACCGTACTGCCACGGTTAATTGATCCACCTTTGTAACATCTGGCGTTGAGTCTACAATTATTGAAAAATATTTGGCAATTTTTATTTCTTTAACAATACATTGTAACACAGTTTTACTCATAAGATCAATAAATTCATCACATATTCTACTTGATAAATAAGATACATTTCCACGACCTTTATTAGAGTATTTATCAATGTGATTAGCGAGAAATGGATCAAACTTTGATAGGAGTTCGAGACAGCCAAGATAATTTCCATTAAATTTGGAACCAATTGTTTCATTGTCTCCTCTAAATGCCAGACCTCTTGTAGCTAAAAATAATATTGTTTCAATTAATCGATGAAGTAATTTTGTCCAATACTTTTCTTCTTTATTAATTTCTATTTTAAGAGAATTGTCTATACAGTATTGGTTATCAAGCTGCCTAGAATGCCATTTACGGACTGATTCAGTATGCTTAATACATTTTTCATGGTGATTAACATCCAATAAACAATTTTTCCAATCAATATACCCAAATCCTGGACGACTAAATTTAGTTTTTCTCTGAGCAAAAAGTAAGCAATAGAAACAAAATAGTGAATTTTGAGAGTGAGAGTATAAAAGCCAATTACGATGTTTGAATTCGCCATTTAGTAATTTTCTGATAAATGCTTCACGTGGCAATTTCCTATTATATTTACCAATTCTTCGAAAAGTTTTGTTAAATTGGATGTCCACTAAATTTGTCGTTACTTGATTTTTAGAATAATAATCAAACTCTGATTCATTCAAAACCCATTTGGCTGGATCATTACTAAACCAGCAATCATATTGAACATTTGTATCTTTTACATTACATTTAACCTAAAATTATAAAATATTTATAAGTAAATGCTTAATTTTAATATTAAATATATTAAGAATTTACACAAGGACATTTTTTAAAAAATGGTTAATACTATGGCACTTTGACAGTTACTAATTTCTTGACATAAATTATATTATTGTTTTGACTTACTTCCTTTTTACCATCAACATTTACAACAGACATGGGACACCTCACATTAATCTGGTTTTTGGCTTGAACTTGTAGTAATTTGTTGGTTTCATTCTAAATAAATAATAAGTAGGTACATATAAAAATCAAAAATATTAAATCATACCTAAACTTTTATTTGATACTTACAATATCACAACTATTACTACCGTCTACAGTCATGTCATCATTAATTTTATAATTATGAATCTCTTCTGTTTTTTCATTTACTTGTAATGTAGGAGTATCTGTTACAACCTTATTATGAACTTCATTAGGCTAAATCAATTAAAATTAAATATTAATGAACAAACAATTAACAAACATTTATTTTAATCAAGATTAACCACATTGTTCTAGTAAATATTTTAAGTCCCTTGTGGCCTCGCACAATTGTTATTATTATTATTAGTATTATTTTAAACTAATATAAAAGCATCAAAAGAGATTCGCCCTCCTAAAACCACAAACACTATTCCCTAAAGTAAAGAAATAAGATTTAAATTAAAATTTTAAAATTTACACTTACCTTTATTTTAAAATAAGTATCTAATTTTGTAGTTTTTTCTGACTAAATTTTCTTCTCTTTCTTTTTTTGCTTTCGACATTTTTCTGTACTGAAAACCACTTAAACGTTTACGTTTATTTGCATCAGCCATTTTAAAAAATAAAATGATAATCCACTTGAATATAATAAAATAACTCAATGTAAATAAACTATGTAAAAATTATAATAAACTCTTAAGCCTTCGTAGTTCGTTGTACGTACAATTGTCACTTTCCATCGTATGATGAAATACTGAATAGTGTGTGACACTACGACAGTGCGAGACCGTTTACGATTTACCATCATATTATTATTAATAAAAATATTTATATTAGTATATCAAGTTATTATCATGTCGATTATTCAATAACAATAAATTTTCCGAAAAATGGTTAAAAATAGCTTGCTAATTACCCGTTCAGTCACCCGCCCCTGCCGCCACCCATAGGTCAACAAGCCAGTGTAGGCACACACACCAGTCCATAATCATTACAATTTACAACACATTTTTCGTAGATAAAATATTTTATCTTAAAATAGATAGTAGATATTTCAATTTTTGTGACCGTGGCGAATTTGGAGTATAAACTAATGGAAAAGTACCTACTTTTTTGCCGCCCTATAAAATATTGCTACTTTTGCCGCCCTGGGGCACTTGCCCTAATTGCCCCCCCCTTTGCACGGCTCTGAGTAGAACAAATATTATTTACAATTTATTGCAATTATTTATGTTGATATCAATTCAAATCTTATAAAAATAATTATTTAGCCTATTAAGTACTTGTATATTAATATATAAATAATAGTAATACTAATATTAGATTATCAAAAATGAGTCCATCTTTTTATTCAACTATTTTTAACATAAAACAAGTTTACCTACTATAAATTTACTACGTACTACGTATTCCTAATTAATGATTTCCACAACTCACATAAATATAGATATACCTATTATATAAACAATTTCCTGTAATTGGCTTTGTCTGTTTTGTCAACTTTTGTACTTGGCTGTTATTTTCGTATTTTACAGAGATGAACAAGCTTTAAATTGGTTATTGATGAGAACTAGTGTTCATCTTTTATTCACGTCGCTCAAAATATTCATAACAGAGCAACGCACAACTAAATTAGATTTTAAAAAAATGCACCATCAACTAAAAGTTTATAAAAACTACTGGTTTATAGCTTAAAATATTGTGTCAATTTGTTAATATATTTTTGAATTCGACGGTGACATTAAAATAATATTAAGCACACCATTTTTGACGAATTTGGGTAATTAAAGGTATTTTTATTTTATCACTAATTGAGATGGTCCACTTATCCCTTTCAAAAAATACAATAATAATATTCATAAACCTTTGAAAAATAATAAACAATTTGGAGTTGTTCTGATTTATTTCCATTTTTGATTTTAATCTCATTCTACTTTCCATTTGTATTAATTATAATTTATAACTATCAGCAACTTCATTGTGTAATGGTTGTGCTATTTTTTTACAAGTCTTTGAATAGATAAATAAAATATTATTATATTTTAAGTACTTTTACTGCCTTTTACTATACCAAAAAGATTAGCCGGTCTTATAATATCCTTATAAATTATAACTATATAGAGCTTATAATAATTATGGACTAAATGTCCTAAAAAACCCTTACGATAAAGTATTCCCGTAAAAATACGTTATATTTAACTGTTATTATTTCACAACACAATTTTTATTGCTTATTTTGGATTATCTACTATTGCCATGTTATTTTGGTACAACAACAATCCGGATTAACAAAAAAAAAAAAAAAAACGCGTGTAGTGCGTTATTGATATATGGAGGAGCATTTCGCTATTTCAACAACATAAATGTGCAATGCATTGCATTTATAAAAAAAGGGGGGAAGTGGGTAACTGCTTTGCTGTACTGTAAATGTTGAATAAATCTCGTTATTGAAGAGTAGTCACTTCAAAAGTGTAATAAATGTATTAAATTTGAATTCAAGAATAAATCATTGTATACGAGAAACGATTCTGAGCGAAGACAGTCAGCATACTCGTATATCACTAAATATAATTTATGATATGTTTTTCGATATTTTTATAAACGCAATCTATTTTACTGTTAGTAATACAGAAGTTGAATTAATTTTTGCTAAAAACATTACGTTTATTATATTATTGTTATCAACTTTTGAGTCAATACCATTTAACCGTAAAACAGTACGGATAATTAGTTTAATAGTATAAACTTAATAGATAATAGTTTAAAACTAATCTAAATATTTTAAAAATATCACTGGGTATAGTGAAATTCAAAATATACACAAAAGTTTTATGTCCTCGTGAAAAATGTTTTTTTAATTATAACAGAATAACATTAATCTTCGTTAAAATATGTAACTTCGTCCAAATTTAAATTTCAAATGTTAATGAAAAAAAATTGTAACTACATGTTTGTAAAGTTAATATAAATATTTGTAATATTTTGTATCAGTATGAAGTACTTATGAGCAACATTTTATTAAATTAAATTTTCAAGCCAAACTATAAATGTATGCGTGTGTGTGTGTTTAATTTAAGCACTTAGTAAATTGTTTACTATTAAATTCAAAATTCTAATTTTTTAAATACCTGCCTAAAAAAAATATTGTGACTATGTATTTTCGATATTTTTTAATAATTAGTAATGATTAATGAACAACATACGTGGAGCCTTGTAGAACATTTTCAAACTTTATGACGAATGAAAATGTTTTATTGACACTTATAAAAAAAAAGGTTATACATTTTAAATATCTTTAAAATTTCTATAAATTGCTGGAAAAGAATCAAAATATTTCTGTAATTTATCGAAAACGTTAAAATAAACATTCAGAAAAATGTCAGGTACCAACGATTAGGTTAGATTAAATTTTGTCAAGTACAAATTAGTACTGATTTTGCGTAATAATTTCGGCTTTTCCTTAAATTTTTTCGTGTTTTCAAGTTATTTTGAAAAGTAGGTTACTACAAATGTTGACAACCTCATCCCTATAAGTACCATCTATATTTCATTTACTATCAAATTATGGCAAGCATTTTCACTGCATTCTTGCTGTGATAGCAAACAAAAAAAAAAAAACAAACAAACAAACAAAACAAAACAAAAAACAAAAACACACACATTTTAAAATCGATATATATTCGACGCTTCGCGCTCAGAGTCTAAAAATTAGCTGCGATTATAAAGGAAGAAAAATATGTAAAACATCATGCAAAAACGCTTACTAAAACCTTCCGGTGTATTATTATGAAACACATTTCCAGATAACTTAGACACTTAGTAGTTAGTCGTATTTTGAATTATTAATGAAAAATATGCAAATTTCCATAAGCCCTTGTCAGAACTTATAAAATATATTATTAGTTACGTCGTGCATAATAATATCACGTGTTTACACTGTCGAGCAGCCGATCGTCATGGTCAAAGGCGGCGTTTCGGCGGGAGCCGTCAATTATCCGACGACAACGTCTTCAGCCGCGGCCTACTGCACCCTACCGCGGTCCTCTTACCACCACCATCACCACCACCACCAACAACAACAACAACAACACCACCAAAGTCACAACCCACACGGCCACCCACACCACCATCAACAACAACAGCAACACTGGCACCAGCAACAGCAGCAACAACAGGCGCACCACCCGCAGCAGCAGCACCAGCACCAGCTTCCCGCCGACTTGAAAGTGGACGTGGTCGAACCGCCGCCGCCGCCCTGGCCGCCGCACAACCTCGCGGGCGCTTATCCGGCGACGGTGATTGTCGTACCGTCACCACCGTTGCCCTCGCCGCCGGTACCGCAGCCGACGTCGACGGCCGCGGCGGTCATCGTTCCCGCGCCGGACAAACTTCAAACGGTCAACAAACGAGAGAGCGCGGTATGACCGCGTCGGAGCACGGACGTCTGAACGACGGATATTATAAAAAGTATAAAATGATTATTATTATTTTACTGTTATCGGTTAGCAAATAGTTATAAGTAATAAAATTCGATTTCGTTTGTTTTGTTCGCATTACTTTTACCAGTTTTACCGTTATGGGTTTCGTTTTCGTTATTGTTGGGATTTTTATTCTGACTTGTAAATTATTATATTATTATTATTATAATCGATTATTTACGACTTCTTGTACCGTACTATACCTGACGTGTGTAAAACCCCACACACACACATATATTATACACGCACTCACACACACACCCACTCCCATGTCCACAATAACACACATACGTCGTTTGCACTTAATTTATAATTTACCTTTCCCTCCTCAAAAAAAAAATCCAACTCTTCCCGTTAGCAGAACACGTTCTTTTATAAAATATATGAATATATGAATATAAAATACAGTTGTATACTATAAATAATAGTAATAATAAAATTATTATTATTATTACTGTTATTATTATTATTATTATTATTATTACTATACAATTATTATTGATATTTAATTACAAAAAAGATTTTTATTAATACAATTGTATTCACAATATGTTCGTTAATTTTTTAATTCTGTACAAATACCATTAAAAAATATTATTGCATTGTATTAATTTATATAATATGTAATAAAGTTTCATTATTTCAAATATTTAAGAAAACAAGTACTTTCATATAACACTATAGAAATTTTAATAACTTTTAAGTTGTAATTTATAATATAATTTATGTCAATAATGCCGTTATGCCATTTGAGTAGATGATGGTATACTTTGGTAGCATGTGGCAGTTTGGGCTGTGATGAGATAAGTGAGGGCGGCGCCTCACCTAAGTATATAATAACTTGATAATTAGTTTTAATACAAATTGTTTTATTATTATATTATTAAAATTTAAAAAAATATTTTAGTACTTAAGTCAAATTACATTTTAGCATCAAAACAGATCTATTTTTTTTTTTTTTTTAACAAATTGAAATATTTAACTTTAAAAACTATTAAAAATATTTCAAAGTTTTCGATTTTTTTTCTGTTCGATATTCTTTATAATTTGTTTAGATACTAATTGTGAATTTATCATTTGTAAATAAAATAAAATACAACTAATTTTACTTATACATATTTATATTTTAATTTGGCCTGATTAAATATAACACATTGGTGACTTTTAAATCAAAGCCTAAAGCCCAAACATATTTAACATATAGACACTATAGTCTATATCTTCAGACTAGACCTGGTGATCAAGAATGGAAAAAATCGTAATACAGACGTGCTCATGTACAGTAAAAGTTAAGTAAACATAAACGTGCTGACGGAAATCAACTGTTCGTGCTGTGATGAAGGCACAAAACGAAGTTCATTAAGAATTATTTATTAATATGGCAGTTAGGTAGCTGTCAAGTAAGTAGTACATTAATGATGTAATACTAGTTCCGTATTTAAGGGAAATCGGGTTAGAAATAATTGCTCCTTATGATACTTCTCTGGAACCGATGAAAATGTCCATAAATGTTAGTAGAATTTATTGTTGGATACGATAATAACAACAAAAATAGAAATTATATAGTTATTTTTGTAATTCATTTTTACAAGTTTCAAAAATAATTTGAATCTATTGAAAAAAAAAAATTGACATTAATATATTTAAGTATAAAGTTATTTAATATAAACATTTTACTGGTTGTAGGTAGTTTTCTAAATTTAGTTTACTGAAAAGTGCAGTTAGTTTTTAATGAAACAAGCTGATTTGACTTAGTGTCTCTAATACGTATCAAAAATCACTAGTTAATTTCTATCTATTTTTAACTTTAGAAAAATGTAATTATTAAGTAAACAAATTTGAAATTATTGATATCTGATTTTTATTCAGGAGAATTGTAAATATTGATAGTTTGCCTTTGTCTAATATAATACATCTAGCATAAGAAAGTTTTATTTTTACCCCGTATTAATTATTAATCTAGTGAAGTGATAAGAACTCTGAAAACAGATTTGATTTTTTTTAAAGTTCTACTTGAGATAAACTTTTCTGCTTTGTTTATTCTATCCACATAATCCTAAAAAAAATTACAATAAATAAGTACAAATTAAAATATTAAAAATTTGGAAAACAACAAAGTCAATTGTAATTTCAGAGTTTTTATTGCTTCACTAGATCAATCATTATGTTAGTAATATATCACATTTAAATTATCATGTTGTGCTTGTGTTAGAAATACACAGAAAATCACCACTTCCAATCCTCTTAACATGGTATATATTATAGTATGAAGAATATAACTTAAATCTTATAGTAAAATACTTGACATTTTTAAAAATTACAAGATTAATTGAATAATGTGTAAATAATAATTACATATATTTAAACTTGATCAAAAAAACCTCATGATGTAGGTACCAACGAAATTACCCATCACAAATGCTGTCAACAAAATATCTCTTAGGGATTAAGGAGAATAATCTAATCTATTATCATTTCCCTTTTTATAATGATTACTAATGTAAAAACGTAAAGTGAATCAAATAGAGTACCTATATACATTATGCATGTAGGCAATTCATGGTAAATACTGTAAATTAGATGTCAGTGACTTTTATGGTCCTTGGATCAATAATGTAATTGTATTTAGTCCTTATATGTAATCAATACTCAATAGCACTTATGATAAATAAGTATCTACACTTCTATCAACCTACGCCTAGAATACCTACCTATATAATATAAACTTGAGAATTATTATATAAACTATCTCGTGTTATGGATTTAATATTTGTGAATAATTCCACATTTCTACGTTTATATATTATTATCATACATTTTTTTTTAAAGAAAAGATATACTGAAAAAACTTACAAAATGTAAATTGTAATTTACAGTATAATTTTTTTGATAATAGTTAGTACCTACTTTATTATTTAAGTAGTTTTTGATTTTTTTATTCTAGGTAGTAAAAAAGAAGATATAATAAATTTACAGACAGATAAATTGGTGCGTAGAATAATATTATTATTGCAAGCATGAACTATCATACAAATGATCACTTTTCCCGCTCAAGCAGAATGCTCCCGAATAATATATACACAAAAATAACTTGTTTCCGCCCAAAAACAAAAAAAGCTCGATTACCGTATCCGTCAAAGCGTATTTATTTAAAATAAGTTTCAGTTAAACATTGTTTTGAAAACCATGTAATCGCTAATCGATAGCATATTTTCAAATTTTTCCTAGGAAAATTATAGAAGGTCTTAAATTATTTTATAATTCAATATCTAATTAAGATTTGGATTTTTAATAAATAAAAAAATGTCAAAATATGTTTTAAAAACATAGAATATATAAAAAAAAAGTTAATAGGTCTATTGTATAAATTATTTTTTAGTTTTATTTATTCATCTTTATTGTTGGTTTTTTAGAAACTAATTGATATATAGAACATTAATATATTAGGAGATTTTAAAATTTAAATAAGTAACGATATGTCATAAAATTGATTTGTAGCAGCTGAAAAAGCGTACAATGTTATAATGAAGTATATTATTTCATACTTTATATATAAGATAGTATATAATATTATGTTAAATTAAATATAAAAAAAAAGAGAGCAAGTAGTCGGTACTCAATACTTACAGAAAATTTGCTGTAGGTGTTGAATAGAATACTATAATGTGGATGTGTTAAATTTAAATTCATTGATATATCATATACGAAAAACGATTCTGAGCGGAGACGGTGAATCAACTTATATCACCAAGTATATTTCATGTCATGTTTTCTGATATTGTTATTCAGAAGAGTAATTTATTTAACTTTTAGTAATACAGTTGATTGAATTGTTTTTTTCTGAAAACTTGCATTTGAAAATATCATTATGTATTTAAAATATAATAATTTAAATAAACATTTTATATCCCCGTGAATGACGTTCTTGAGCTATAAAACAATATTCATTACTATTGTTATTCGTATTAATTTAAATATTAAAATATATAATTTCGTTCAGATTTTAACTTAAGATGTCTAAGAAAAAATTAAACTCAAATATTGTTTTTTAGATTTTTCGGTTTCGTGAAATGTTTATAATTTATGAAAAATGTTGTATTATATTTTTAAGGCTTAAAAATATAACTCTATATAAATTACCTATAAAAATTATACATTTTATAATTTTTCAACTGGAAAACACACAAAAAATTTTGTATTTAATTTTCAACATTTTTGGTTAAGTGAGAAATTTTTTTCAACATTTACGGAAATACAATAAAAAAATTTTATTTCAATTATTTATTAATAATTCAAAGAGTCAAAATATTTTAAAATAATTTTATTATAATATATAGAAAATCATAATCTAAACATTTTGTGAAAATTAAAATTACCTACGGTTATTTGTAATTATATCAAACTGTTAACAACCATTGAAGAAAAAATAGTTATTTTACAGGTAAATATACAATTTCGTAAAAATTTAGTCTTCAAACGCTCAAAGAAAATTAGTTTTATTTTTCAACAGATTTTTTTTTAAGTAAACTTATGAATAACCTTGTATAAAATTTTTAAATTTTTAATGAAAGGAAAAATGTTTATGAATTTTTTACTGTATAATACTCATACTTTGAACATTTTCAAGATACTACACAAATTTAGTTGAAATTCTAAATTGGAATATTTATAAAAAAAATTGTGACTATAAATTTTATTTAATAAAAAATATATTATTATTAGTGGTCATTGATATATTTGTAAAATATGTTTAAACTATGAATAATAATTTAAACATTTTCTACCTTTAATAATTATTATTTTAATAGAATTTTGGTATTAGATTTTAGAAAAAAATCTAAGCTTTGGGATATGAAAATCGCTTTTCATTTTTAGTATTTTAAGTTAATCTATAAAATAATTGAATGAATATGTATAGTTTTACAGTTCACTTTAAAATATAATAAAAATAAAAATTTTTGTATTATACCAAAAGTTAGTGGTTTTTTTTTTTTTTTTATTCAAACAAAACATTTGAAGTTACTCACATATGATGGCATTCTATTAATATGATGATTGTAACAATTAAATTCATTAACTTGAGTTAAACTTAAATCACTGTGCAGTTTGTGATAGTAATATAATCAATAATCATTACATTATTTATTATTCTCTAATTTAATTAAACATAAATAACCTTAAAATATTTCTCGTCTATCTTTTTTATTTATAAATTGTATTAAATATTTTAACAGTTTTGAAGTTATTTACAACAATTTAAATGTAGTAATTTTAGTATTAAAATAATATAAATTATCAAGTTTGTGCATGTTTAAAAAAAATTAATACTTACATTTTTTGAATTTGATATAATTTCAATGTATACCATTCTTAATTTTAAATTAATTTGTATATATTTATTATTATTTTTTTTTTAATTTCAAATTTTAGGCATATACTTTACTCAAAATATACGTGCTAACATATTTGCACAAAAAGACAAGTGGCACTAGATGGCATTCATCTTAAAAGGACGTCTCACCCGCATGAGTTATGAGCATTTTCAGATATTTGTATTTTTCATACTCATAAATCACTTAAAAATCAAAATATCGTAAGAAAAGCAACGAGAGAACACAGTTAATTTTCATAACTAAAAGTTTGATAATAAGTCAATTCACTCTAATATCAAAACTAAAAGCACACTATTGAAACTTGCGAATGAAAATTTACCATGTCGTTATGTGTAAGAGGGTAACGACACATACAGGTGCGAAGTCCTCTTAAGACAAAAACTAACAAGATTATAAATACTTTTTTAAAAGGATTTTAGCCCGATCAATATTTTTCATACCTAAAATAGCGTTAAAAATATTGTAGTCTAACTGTTAAGTGTGAACATGCTTCTATACATTTTTATCTGATTTTTAGGTTCTTGATTAAGTTTGATTAGTCATTCTAATAACAATATATCATTAATACACTCTATTGGCTATTAAATCACTCTCTCACAAATAACTAGATTAAATTATAGATACCATTATTACATTATTATTTATTTTTTATTTTTTTTTAACAATTAATTATTATTAATTCATACATATATTCATATATGTATTTTGTCTTGAACTCTCTTGAAAAATACATATTAATGATCCAAGTAAAATTGCCAACAATTTAAACGCACAGCTATCATACTGAATATTTTCATTTTTACAATTCGGATTTTATACCCGTCCATATAAAAATATTTTTTTGGTTATCTATATTTAATTTTTAAAATTTTGTAGAGACTCAAAAAAAACTACTTTTTTGATATATTTGTATTCTTTCTTTATTTACTATAACTTAAATCTTTTTTTAGGAGGAGGGGGTTGTCATTGTAATAAAATTTAATTTTTCTCAAAATATCTTAAATTATAAAAATATTACAATAATTTTAATTGCTAATTATTAGCAAACAATTTGCAGTTTTTTAATATTATTTTACTTTAAATTACATACACTTAGCAATTGTACATCTAATTATTAATTCTTTATCAAACATTCAAACATACCATTATAATGGTATCATGATTTTTCTTCGATTATCGTGCTTTAATGGTTACTATTCAAATTTCAAATCAACTTCAATTGTTTAATTCAAAAAAGGAAGTTTATTATTTTATTAAAACATATTATAAAGTAATCAAGTTATTCGGTTATTATTACAAAATAAGTTAAATACGTCTTATAACAAAACAGCTTATGTACGAAAATTGATTAATAAACAGTAATTGAATATTTTTTATTTTTATTTTCATCAAGTTAAAAGGAAAACTACATGGTATTTATTAAATTTAGAAATTAAAATGTTTAAGTTAACATAAAATAAAAATTACATAATGAAGTTTATTCTATTATTCTTTCAGAAAATAAATTTAAGGGCTTTAATAAAATAAATAATTCTACATGATTTTGCTTAGATATTATTAAAATACAATTTTTAAGTGCAAAAAGAATTCTACAAAATTTTCTAACTTAATAATATAGACAAATTGGTTATTTCGAACTTCTTTAACTCGAAATCGTTGATACCTTGAACTTTTTCTCCGGTTCCTAGAATTTCCTATTTAGACAATATGAAAAAACCTTGTTTAACTCGAATATTTTCGTAGATAACTCAAAGTTTTGATTTTTATTGATATTATAAAATGTTAATATTTTCCTTATGTACCTATGTATACATTTTAATATCGAAAATAAGACCGTTGCTCATTAGTGTTATAGTTATCGATAAGTGGTTTAGAAGATTTACTGTAAACGCTGCGATCTAACAAAACTAACAAAAATAAATACCTTTTTTAAAATTACATATACATAATTCATAAATAAATACATAGTAAATATTTTTTATTGCATTACTTTATTTATAATAAATGCATAGGAATTAATATAATTTGTACTGTTTTAAAAGTTTTTAATTTGGATAACTCGAAGTTACCGTAAAAAAGTTCGAGTTAATCAAGTTCGACTGTGTTAAAGAGATACTTAAATTATTTAACTACTTTGAAATATATGATTTTAAATGGTACCTACTACAGTATTGTCTAAAATAAAAGATAAAATATGGTGAAAAAATGAATTTAATTATTAAAATTAATTAAGTATTGAATGTTTAGACTCAATATTTAAACAAATCAATACTAACTAATCTCAAATTAAAATATTTTTTGGCTTTTAAGATATAATTTTTTTACTGTTGCATGAATTTAATATTGAATTATTTATTGCATAAATATAAGCAAATCAATTATAAAAAAATTTAAAACTAATAACTAAGTTATATATATATATATATATATATAAGTTTTTGTATATAAACTGAACAATAAATATTTTTAAAGAGAACACTATTATTAAGCTGTATCACTGAAAAAAAAATTGAAAGAATGTAGTTACTAACATTTAAATATTTAGTAATTGTTAAATTAATAATTTTATCTTGAAGCATACCTACTACATAAAATAATTGAAGACATTTCAATAGGATATAAAATAAAATTTTTTTTTTTGAATTCTTGTCTTTCTTATCCAGCTCATAATAGTTAAGCATTATTTGAATTTTGAGGAGGATACCATGAAAGTCTTTCTTCATAAAACTTGATGACAATTTGTGGATACTTTACATTAGCCTCCTTAGATGAAATTAATTCAGTCTTTTCATCTCCTTTCTCTCCTTTCCATCTTAATAAAAACATCAATTGGCCACTAGAATCAGTTGCTCCAATAATTTTGTCAGGTTCATCTACAGAAGAAATCGAAGAATTGGAATTATCACTATCTTTACTACCAAAAAAACTCTCGATATCATCTTCAACATCATCATTAACGTTATCATTAGCGTTAACGTTATCATTATCGTTAACGTTAACATTATCGTTAACGTTATCATTATCATTAACGTTATCATTATCGTTAACGTTATCATTATCGTTAACGTTATCATTCTCGTTGACATTATCATTATCGTTGACATTATCATTATCGTTTATGTTATCATTATCGTTAACGTTATCATTTTCGTTAACGTTATCATTGCCGTCATCATTATCTTCAGCCTCGTCGGATTTATCCGACTTCTCAACTTTATAAACTTTTTTTTCCGGTAGAGGAGACTTCTTTTTACGTTCTTTAGATGGACCAACATCTGACGCTGCATAACTTGTATCAATAGAATTAGATGATGTACGTTTACGGTTACTACGCTCTAGTTGTTCCTTTTTTATTTTCAATTGTTCTTCTAAATCATCTTCAAATTCTTTAATCAATTCTTCACAATCAAGATTTTCTTCAGGTTCCCAAGTATTATCTGACTCACTGTAACCATTCCACTTAAGATAATATTCCACTTTGCCATTTCTTATACGCTTGTCTAAAACTTTTTCCACAGAATATTCCTCTTCCTGTTCATCAGCTTGAGAACTGGAATCTGATTGATTTTCAATTTCACTTGAACTGGAATAAAAATACATTAATGTTGATTATAATATATAAAAATAAATATATAATTTATTTTAAATACGTTTGCTATAGTAACACCAACAAGTGTTCGTTTTGTTTTTTATACACATAACCTTTATAAAAGCATTATTCTATTGAAGCGTTGTAATCATTCATACATTTTATTTTATTTTAGTATAAAAACAGTTAAAAAAAAAACAAATTCAATACACATATGGAAAATTACAAACCACCGCAAATATTACTAATACAACTTTATTTTTTTATTTTAAATATTCATAATATTTTAAAATAAAAAAATTAATTTATGAATAAAGGCGCAAATAAGGTGGAGTTTGAGGGGCTTAGGCCCCTTGATTCCATCTAAGCCCTACAGGCCCCAATATTTACTTTTTTTTTATCTTATTTAAGCCCGGAAACTGAGATAGGAACAGTAGTTTTTTTTTTTTTTTTTTTGAAAGGTTTTGTTTGTAAGGTTTAGTCAGTAGGGTTGAAACACGTGTGTTTATGTGGGTGCGCCATAGATTTGTCACTAAGAACTAAGGTGGTCACCCATCTGAGAACTAGTGACGCCGGCCGATGCTTTTCCTCTGATCACATTAGTCTCAGATCGCACCACACCAGGCCACACTATTTACTTTTATAATAACATTTAATGTATTAGTAATCAAATGTGGTTTTCGACTGCTCCTTATAGCTGTACATAATATCGTCAATATTAATTTTTTTTTACATTTTAAAAATAGAGTAAATTAATTTATGAAATATTGGGAAATCTAAGAGTCTAAGACTTATAAATAGACAAATTATAGTGTAAGAGGATGTCGCTATCACAAGTGTTGTCTCCGTCTTACACACGTACGACATGGTAAATTTTCGTTCATCAATTTCAATCGTATGATTTTAGTTTTGATATTAGAATAAATTAACCTAATATCTAATTTTTAGTTTACAACATTAACTGTGTTCTCTTATTGATTTTTTACGATATTTTAATTTTTAAGTGAGTTATGATAATTTTCTAATATTTTTTTCATTCTCATAACTTACTTAAAAATTAAAATATCGCAAAAAACCAATGAGAGAACACAGATAATTTTCTTACCCAAAAGTTTGATAATAAATCAATTAATTCTAATATCAAAACTAAAAACACACTACTAAAACTTGTGAACGAAAATTTACTCTGCCGTACGTGTATAAGACAAAGTCAACACATGTGGATGCGACGTCTTCTCAAAGGTATGATATTATACATTATGTGTATATAAGGGTAAACGGCTCGCAATAGGTGAGTAGAGGTACGTACGAGTTGATACCCAGGTCATTATATATTTTATTCAATATTTAGTAAAATATTCAGCCTATTAGCATAACCCAAGAAACACCACGAGGAGGTTTCTCAAAAATGTTGTCTTTTTTAATTTTTTCATATTTTGAAAATCATTCAATTTTTTTTTATTAATTACTTATTAAATTATATTATATTTATTATTATTAAAAACATTTAGTAGTAACTAGGTAAAAAAATATAAAAAAATTTAGTAATTTGGTAAAGATTTGTAACACATTGTTTTTATAAGTTGGTATTTGATAATGAGATTTTTTTTTGTAAAATCGCGCTTGATCTCGGTGGACATAAGAGTGAGTTGTGTGTGACGGTCGAAATCTTTATACGGTCGTAAACTCTTTACTCATACAATCTATTGATAATTGATATACAACAATAGGGAATCAACTCAATGGTGTCGGTGCAGGTAAACAGGTACCTAGGAATCAACTCGTACGCAGCCAAACGGCTAGTGAATTTCCCAGTAATTATAAAGCATATCATTGCAGTCATAACATCATTGTTTATTTTAGTTTATTAGTTGATTACCGTCTTATCAGTTGTCATTCACAAAAATTAGTTCTTTGCAGTGGTGGATTTACGGGGGGAGGGGGTCCATGGGGTCTGAATCCCCAGACACTGATATATACATGTATAATCAAATAATGCATACACAGAGTCTGACCCTGCAGTAGGTATACCGTATAACATAATAATATATGTACATATTTCAAATATAAATACCTAGGTTGATTATCGAGAATCTACTGAAATAATAATAATATAATAAAATATTTTACAATTGTATTTTAATAGTTTAGATAAAATAGTCTGTCGTAACGTTAATTCCCGATATTCTTTTTTATTGTGATAGTGAGTTTATCTGCGTATTTTTCCACTATGGAGGACAATATTATTATAACACTATTTCTGTTATTTTATACCTACAACTAAAATGTATAAATTAGTTGACCGACGACAGTTGACACTAACACTGACACACTGTAATAACGCAATAGCCGATATAGAGAAAATCATAAGTGAGTACGAACTTATTTAAAAGTTAAAAAACTTATTTCAACAAAATGCCGTCTAAAAACTAAACCATTTAAAATTTTTTTTTACCTATTCAAACTTCAAATGTTAATCAAACTAATACCTCAAAAGAAAATGTATCAACTAAAAGACCATTTGGTGGTGTGCGACCAATCATAAATTATTTAAGCTTAATTGGCGAAATTCGAGATTTCTTCATACATCCCAAACGAAAAAATGTTTTATCACACAAAATTTTAGATTTTTCTAATGACACAACAAAAAAAAACACTAAAACGTAGTTGTGCAGCGAGATGGATTGAACATACATATACATATTATTTTTTAGGATCCCCCCCCCCAGAAAAATTTTGAAAATCCGCCACTGGTTGTTTACACGTTATATCAACGTAGTCTGTACTATGAAAAATTATGTTATAATATGTTTGTACGCAATATTGTCTATTTCTATTAGTTCAGTCTTCAGTATAACAGTTGACAATTTGTCAAGTTAGTCAGTATGACGCTATAATATTAGTAGGTAATTACTAAATAATTACATGTAACTATAATAATCACTGTCAGTGTTAATGTTAAAAACGTTTGCTATAAACAAATCAATTCACCTTATTATATATATATAAAAAACAATTTAATTTATGGATAACAAATGAGTATTTAGCATTTTTAATATAAAAAAGTGTATCAAGTACTCATACTGAAAGACATAAAAAAAAACAATGATGACATTTTATAGTCATCACCTTAAGTTGTAAGTAGCATTTTTTTTTTTTAATTTTTCATTTAAATTAACATTTCACATTTTGAAAGATTAATTCTTTTGGATCTAAGAGTGTTACAACATTACTAGAAGAAAATGAAAATCTACTATTAAACTTCTACAAGGAGTTACAAATTAATAGTTTTCAGTTAAATACCAGGGTAAATGATTTAGGTGATATCGATTCAGGTCCTGCTAAACTTTCTATTTTAGAAGTAAATTTTATAATTTAATTATATACCTACCTAGTTATTATTTTTATGTTAAATCGTGCAGTACAAAAATTAGATATTTTAGTCTGTATTTTATTTTATTTTATTTTAATCATATATTACCTATAAAATATACATTATATTGTTTCTAATATATTTTTATCTTTCAACAAGTAGTTTAAGTTAGTAATAAACTAATAAATAATAAACAATAATTTTATTCTTCTATATAGAAATACCTTCAGACACAATTTGGTTTACAAAATAAAAGTTTTTATCCTAGAGTATATAGTCGTTTCAATTGAATAGAACAGGGGTCGGCAATTAAATTCTATGGAGGTTCAGAAAATCAAAAAAAAAAAAAAAAAAAATTCGAGGGCCAGTAAAAACTAAAAACTCTGATATTAGTTAATAATTGTTGTGTTATCGCAGCAATTATTGTAAATAGCAATAAACGATAAACACCATCGTAATCTCTAAATACATCCTAAAATAGATAAAATATATATTATGTATAGAAAACCAGCATTATTAAAAAAATAAATATTTTTTGTGGTCCAATTATTTTTTCTTCACGAGTTGCCTATTGCCGACCACTGGTATAGAGTATGGTGTTGTTGAAAATGTTATATTTTACTATCCATGTAAAATGTTAGAACTGTAGCTTTCAACTTAAGGATTTATAAATTGGAAAAAAGTAAGTGTTAAATGACTATATAAACATAGTTTAAATTAATTTAGTAGATTTTTAGCTCTAGAGGAATAGGATCAAAATACATTAAATCAAAGTTGGAGTTACATTCTAGTTGTCAGTACCATTTGACTTGTATGGCAAAGTGACAGGCGCATATTCAATCGAAAACTACTGATTCTGTTCATATGTTCATACATTAGTTACAAATGCAAACCGAAATCGAATATTAGAAAATAGAGATTACATGCTAACTTTAACTGATATTATATTATTTTGGGCACATCAAGGAATAGCATTTAGAGGTCATATTAAAAGTGAAACATCTTTGAATCAAGGTGAGTTAGGTGATTTTAGTACCATAATTTTTTTTTATTTATATAAATACCTAACTTATATAAATTAATTATATTCCTATTTATATTATTCATCATTTTTACTGTAGATAACTTTAAAGGAACATGCAGACTAATGACAAAATATAATCCAACTTTTGCTTTAAATTATGCTAAACCTACAAATTATATAAGTTGGTTAATACAAAATTAAATTATTGAGATATGCGCTAAACATATAAAGAAAACTATTGTTGAAGATATAATAAATGCTGAAATGTATAGCATTTTGTGTGACAAAGCTTGATAATTTCTTAACATTATATTATTTGTTTACTTAACTGGCCTTAATCTACATTTTGATAATAATTTTATATAAAAAAAAATCTAGATGTCACAACAAACAACAGTTAGCTGTGTGTTTTCATTATCCAAAAAACCTTAAAATAGAAGAATGATTTGTTGGATTTTTAGATGAATAAAAAGTCTAAATGCTGACAGTATAATTAGTGTTTTATTACAGTTTTTAAAATCTTTGAACTTAGATAAAATTAATATAATAGGTAAATCATATGACGACATTAATGTGATGTCGGGTTATATTGGTAGAGTTAAGGCTAAGCTAAAGAAATACATCTACAAGCTATTTATGTACACTGTATGGCACACAAATTAAACCTTATGGTCATTGATATATGTAAACATTTGAAGGCGAGATTAAATGTATTTATAAATGTAATAAATGTATGAATATTTCAGTTATAGAGTATTAAATTCTGTGTTTTAATAAAAATGATATGACATCAGGTATTAGAAAATTTAATTTTAGAGCGCACAACATTTATTTAATAGCTTGGAAGCGCTGTATGTTCATATTACTCAAAAATTACTGATATTAAAAAAAAACAAGGAATTAAAAAAAAAAAAAATCCTACAATTATCAGATAATTGACGGGTCTGCCATTATTTGAGTTGTAACTCAGTTATTACAAATTTTAAACCTATTCTATATGGGAGGTTCCATTTTCCTCCAAAAACGAGATACTGTTTTCCTCCACGGTCCATTTTCCTCCACATAAAAAAAGGTTGGTTTCCATTTTCTTCCACATTATTTTCGACTAAAATTATGTCTATTTTCCTCCAATATTTTAGCCAGTGTTGTTGTATTATGTTCCGTATTATAAAGATAGAGTAAGGCTAGGATCATATTTTGCGCTTATCGGTCGATATAATTACATCTGGTATCGACTGTATATTGATTGTTCATATTATGTCTAATTTTCTTTTCCTTAAACAGGTATTCATTCGTTGCTGAAATATCCAATGATTATAAAAATATTATATTATAGTTAATTAATTTTTATTTTGCTATGTATAAATTATTTATATGAACTATTTTATTATTTTATTCGTATATAACATAATATCTGACAAAAAAACAAAATATTATAATCAATTTCATTTTTTTTTTTTTTTTACTATACCTATTTTATTTATTATTTATTGGAGGAAATGGCTACGGCCTTCTATATATTTTTGATAAAGAAATAAAACTACAAAAAGATGGCAAAAAATGGGAAATTCGTGGTACATTTATTTGTTCTTGTTGATATTTTAAAAATTATTAACATTCTGAGAGCACAATTTCAATCAAAGTCTTACTTTAAGAAAATCAAGTTCCTAAGTATGTGGTGTGATTAATACTTTGAAAAATAATCGTTCAGATGTATAATTTAATTTATGATTCAAATTATTGATATAGTTTAAATTAATTCAGATGACTCAGACGTCGCAGAAGGGAACCTACATTTTTACAACAGTATGCTGTACTATCAATTACTTCAGCTTAAGAAAGCCATGTTAATGATGTACTAATGGATAGTTCAATAAATAAAATATATTGAAAAAGGCATTGTTTTTAACCTATACTTGATACTATTATTGTCAAAATGGAAAAACGATTTTCACCAGAAAGTATGGAAATAGCCCAATCTGTAGACAACTTTTTTAAACTAAACTTTAATGAAAGTATACGATGCATTAATCACACTATAAGGTAATTATTATTAGGAGCATTTTTTTTATAAACACTAAACCTAATATTAATTTATAATGTATTTATATTGATAAATTGTGCTAAACAATGTTATTGAATGCTTGAATCTACTTTTTATTTACCATATACTTTTGAAAATTAATTTGTAAATAATAACTTTTAGAATTTATTCAGTGTCTCCAAACATTCTTCAATATCAGAAATTATAGTTATCAAAAATGTCTTAAAAGTTAATATTGATTTGGAAGTTCTACAAAATCACTTAAACTCATTAAATAGCAAACAAATCATTCCAAATTATTATAAGCTATTTAATGTAGCAACTACTTTGTCAATCAATTCTGTTACTTGCAAAAGATAATTTTCCGCCGTTAAGAAATTGAAAACATAGATGAAATCAACAATTCTCCAAGAAAGATTCAGTAGTTAAGGGTTAATTAATATTGAAAAAGACAATAATACTGACACAGTATCAGTATTAAATAACTTTACCAAATCCAACAAGAGAATAAATTTAATACTATAGTTATCTATTACCTAGTTAATAATAAATATACATGCGTATTACATAATATTTTTATTTGATGTGGGGGGGGGGGGGGGGGATTTTGGTTGATAATATCGAAAGCTTGTACCCCCACCAATGTAACTCCCTATTTGCACCTGTGTAATAAATAAATTGTGATATAAATTATATAATAGATTAAATATTTTGCTTTGATTGATTACACCATTTTAATAACCAATATTTAACATTTAAAAAGAAATAATTAAAACTATGAAATGAAAATCATTAATTGTACTACTAAATTAATACCTTATTCAATAATTATGAGAACAAATTTTTAAAATGGACAGGAATCCTATAATTTCTATTCTACAGAACTTTTTAACGTTATGTAGCGTAAAAAAATATGACAGCAACGCACTAGTTAATGGAGAAACATATACGTAAACGCATAATAGGTGATCTCTATTAAACTAGTAGCAGAACAGTAGAGAATGTATTTCAACATACTTGCACAACTCGCTAATTAAAAATCAATTAAGTCACAAGATTTCCAAAAAACAAAAATTTATTTTTATTTTTGCTTGCTCGTCTGATATAATCAAAATCGAATGGGACAATTGTGCCAAAACAAAAACGAGCGCAATTAAAATAAATCCAAAAAACCGTTGTGAATGCACGGCAACGAATATTATAATGGACGCCGCACGTAAACAGGATGACGGCGACAGTTTTTGTATATATTGCATATTCTACTAAGGACTACGCAAGCAAAAATAAATCAAAACATTAAACACCGTCGATCTGAATAATATTAATCTATCATTTATCCATTGTAGATCTGAAATAAGATTTGTGATTTAATTTTTTACACTCAAATGTTTTTCAGTAACCGCCATAAATTTAGAAAATGGCGGCGGCGACATTGACAAGATGGTCGATAGTGTATGCCTGGAATATCATTCGATTAGGTATATTTTGCAAAAAGTCACAGTTCTCGATCACCCACAGCCGATATAAGGCTCTTATACACTATAGTTCGCGCGCAGACGAGATTTTAAATCATCGCGAACGTTCGCCTAAAATTAAGCATGTGTGATTGATCGCGGGCGATGGCGGATTTAATTCGCTTGCTTTACATAGTGTGAAACGTTTAATAACTAATTTAATACAAACTGTTTAATTTTAAGTGAACGTTTGCAGCGATTAAAAATCGCGTCCGCGCGTGAACTATTCGCCTATTATGTAATGGCCGTTTAAGGAAAACGTATGTAAACAAAGAAAATGGCGGATAAAAATCTAGTGGACGGGATATTGGAGGCCCGCATATGTGCACGCTAGCTTTTACTCACCTGGAATCCATATTAAAGACTTGCGAGTAAAAGTACTGAAAATCAATGTATGGCGTCGAGATAATTCAACCAAAAAGCGGAATCAGAAAAAAATGAACACTGAACTGAACAGTAAACACCGGGATAACGATGGCTTGACGGAATGCGTACTATGAGGTAATAAACTGTTTGTCGGAGAAGGACGCTACAAAAGTTCACAATTTTGATAAAAGCGAGCGTCGATCGACTAAATCAAAGAGATCAGTTATGCCAACTTTAGAACAATAAATTTCCCGCATTAAAATAATAAAAAAGTTTTTTTGCCTAACCAACGTTGTATCACAAAAATCCTTTTTTAAAGTAACTAAAAACTAAACTACCGCTTATCAACTATAACTACTGGTTATCAATACTAACTTAAATATGAATTTAAAGCATTTAAAATTTTAATTTATTAAATTAAAAAAAAAAAAAAATGTTTAATAGACCATAATATTATTTCATTACGTATTATTTGCCGTAGTATAAAAATATATATTTTCATTCAAACATTATTAAACAATTTAAAGTGAATCCCATTGAAATAAAATTATTTCCTTAAGTGATATTAGTGTGAAATACTTAAAACAAGTTTTTCGTGCATAAATTAATACAATAATTGTTGTCTAATTCGCATGAAACAGAACATTAGTATTTACAATGGCGTTATGTGGGAGTAAAAGGTATCATAATACAAATTGTTTTTTAAACCATAAAATGAGTTTTAAGACTTGCGAAAAACAAACTATTAAGTATACATAGAATATATTTAAATACATTACAGTATTATTGTAATTATTAATTAAACTATTCGAATTATTTCAATGCAGTTGAAGAACTTGAATGATCATAATATTTCCTACCGATAGATAAAACACTTACCTAATACTCTATGACCTAGGTCTATCTCACTAAGAGAAATTTCGTAAGTATATAAACTGATACAAAACAAAACTAATTTCAGTTCAAAATATAAATAATATCGAATTAATTTAATAAAAAAATACTCAATTTATTCTGTATAACTATAACTTAAAATTTATTAAAATAAAAACTGCATACGAGTTCGGAGTGACAAATAATCGTAGCAAAACCATAAATGTTTTTACCATGTATTGTATAATAAATATTAAGTAGGTACGATGCAATTATAATGTTGAATCTACTTTTTGATTCATTCTTTATTTTAATTATTAATCTAACATGAGCAATGTCTAAATGACCCAGTAAACTGGCCACCGGTAAGAACAAATAATTCATTGGTCTAAATATATTAGATAAATATTAGGATTGTTCAAGCAGTTTAGTATTTATTTTAGAAATCGTTTAGAACCATTATAAGCAATTATAAATTAGTTCAATTGGCTAAACTCCGATTGAGTACCTATGATTGACCTTTTTCATATTCCAATCCAGCACGGTTGCTATCAAACAATAGGAACCCAAAAAAACAATACGATTTAGCACCAAAATAGGTGCGATGTCGCCACGCTGTACCGTAAAATATTAAATTAAATACATTTAAACATAAATATTTGTAAATAAAAATTAAATAAAAATCTTTTATTAGCTTTTAATCACATATTATTATATATTAAAACAATATTTACTGGATATGTAAAGTAACCTCACTTATACATGAAAAAGTAACAATTTGTAAAATACACACTATTTTGAAGAAACACGAACGCGAAACAACAGAACAGACCAATTCTTATCTACAGCATAGTTATATACGTACAATAAAAGTTAAGTTAATCACAATTTAGTGCAATCGTTGTAGATCAAAACTCTAGTTTCCTATCTATCCCAATTCCCAGTTATTTTTAACTTCCGTGGGTGTTTTTCGACTAATATGTTAGTTACCTATTAGAAAACTACACAATATATGATCTAGTAAAAATTTGTCGACGTTATACACAAAACTTATTTTTTTTTTTTTATCATGCTCAATCTTATATTAGCGGTTCGATTATCTTACTAGAACAAACCTTATTATAACTTGTTAACACGAACATACTCATAATATTCATGTCATTTATGTTATTGATCAAAACCAACACTAGCAATATTTAATCCTAAAATGTCATTGGTATATTATGTTGTAAAGTATCATCAATATTAATATGTATATTTTTTTAATTAATGATGTTTATTATTTTGATGAGCTTTTTTAAGTTTTATGTTTAATTTTTGAAATATTTTATTTCATATATAATATTTTAAATGTACGAACAATTTTTAATTCTTCTTTTGTAAAATTAACGAATAAGTAACACCAATTATATTAGATGTTATACTTGAAATAGTGAATACATTATGTATTTTATTATTTTACTGAGATACAGTTATAAAAATGTATTGTATGAGTGATTTTACTGCTATTGAATATTTTTGCGATTCTCTAGTAAATCGTTAAATATATAATAATATTGAATTCTAGGTTTCCATAATATTGTAATAGTTTTTCGTTTAAAATAGATTTTAATTTTCACTTAATCACTATTTTAGAATTTTAATTTAATAGCATGCTTCCCTACTGTCCTCTTATACCTTGGTATATTAATCAATAACTATGTTATTTATTAAATATTAATACTAATAATCCTAGTTAATATACATTTATGGCATGTAACACGATTGCGCCCGGCTTACCTTATTCTATTAAAAAAAATACAAGACAATTATGCCCAACCAATTAGCACGATCGAGCCTGTTTTATCTTTTTACCTGTACAAAACACAACGCGATTACGCTTCAATAAATAAATGTGTCCCTTATATTATTTATATAACATATACGTATATTCTAACTATTTTCCAATACACTATTTATAAATCGGACTTGGTTTTCCTTAAACTTGGTTTCCAAATGTGTATAACCAAGTATTTTAGTACATGCACTTGAGTAATCAAGAAAATATTTTCTTGTAATTTATCTTATCTTCAAAGTTCAAAGTATAGATAAACGATAGTGCCGTGATCGGATTTTATACTTGAGATACAATTGACTTTTTATATACGCAATTATTTGTATATTAATACATTTTTTTAGTCTAATTTATTATACACTGGAAAGTTTTAAAACTTATGTTTATTTTGACAATATCTAACATTTTTTTTATTTAAATAAGAATACGTAAAAATATAAAATAATAACAAAAATATACACTAAAAATTAATAAATTTTATTTATCCTAAATAATGATATTCACGTGCAATTCGGAAACACCGTTATATATTATAATATATATATAAAAAAACACATATATATTGGAGCGCAATCATGTTGCACTTTGTACAGGTAAAAAGGTAAAACCGGCTCGATCGTGCTAATTGGTTGGGCGCAATCATGTTACTAGTGATGGGAATAATCGAATGATTTCGATAATCGAGAGATTAGTAATCGAGATATTATAATAATCGAGTAATTCACTCGATTATTTTAATCGAGAGAATGGTCACTATTATATAGTGATAGTCGCTAGTCCGATAACAAATGTACGATACAACTGATACAACATATAAATTAAATTGAAATATAGTATATTATACCAAAATAATATATATATTATGTGATCAAAATTATTATTTATAATAGATATAAATAATAATAGAAACCATTTCCTTAACAATTCCAGATAGTACAGATTAATAATAAAGTATAGTTATACTACGCCGCGGGCCGCGGCCGCCTGGGTATTTTTAAATATGTATTAGTTATTATTATATTATAATATTAGTGAATAGTAGATTAGTAGATAAGAATGATTACTGCCTATTGGTTCAGTGTTCGAAATTCGAATAGCTATACCAACTACTATAAAGTAACTATAAACTAGTTATTATAAAAATAGTAATTACTAATAAGTAACTACTAACTACTAATTTTTCATTCGATTATTTTTGACCGAGCAATTCGATAATTTTTCTAATAATCGAGTAATCGATTATTTTCTAATAATCGAGTACTCGATTATTTTCTCTCGATTGTTCCCATCACTACATGTTACGTTTCTTGAATGGAATAAGGTAAGCCGGACACAATCGTGTTGTACCGACATTTATACGTAACAACATAACGTAATGTTTTAGATGTGATCGACACCATTATCACTAAATTCTATAGGAACCTATTGCTTTAATTTTAAGAGGGGACAAAAAAAGTCAAAAAAGTCTCAAAATATAAACTAAATAAACGTTTAATCTACAATTAATCTTGCGTTTATCCACCAAATCGTCAATACGACTAATTATATGTATATATATATATATAATTTCAAATCCCTATACGTAGTTATAAAGAAAATAATAATTTGTATGCTTTTTGGTAATTAGATAATATCTATAATGGTAATACTCATTATAAGGTCATATTATTTTTCAGGGGGGCAAGTGCCCCGTCTTGCCTATGTTAAATTCTAATTTTTATAAAGAGGTGTCAGTGTTTGAAGTTTAATGCTTTAAATACCTATATTAAATAATTTTTTATTTTAACTATATGTTACATTAATAATAATTTTGCAATTCAAAATATACTTATTAATAAAGTATTTGTGAAAATAAAATACATACATTTAGAGTCAAGTGTCAAATTTTGTCTGCATACCTATTATGAGTATTATGTAGTTGCAACCTAAAGCTATTAACTATACGATTAAAGGTCTAATATGAATTGCAGCCTGAATTTTAATATGTATGTTACCGGAAAAGATGAATCAGTTAATGTCGACGATGACTATAGCCATCAACGACAATGCGTGATTTAACAAGGAAGTATCATAAATGACTTGTAATTGACGTTAGTTCATAAAAAAAAAAGACAATGATGCTGAATATTACAATAATATTAAAAAATTAAATGAATTAATAATTATTTATTTTTATTTATTACAGCACGGTAAACAACTATGACACTTAGAGTTACATAATTGTGCAAAGGTACGACAAGCACATCATTATGTTTTATTTTTACAGTTACATCTTATAAAATCTTGTGATCCATAAGTGCTGTTAAAGGCAACTTATTGATAAAAATAAAAATAATAACTTCATATTTACGTATATATCCCTATGATCTTTTGTTCACGTCTTCTTTTTCCGGCCGTGGATAACGTTATATTTTGGACTGCTTTATTTTTTCAATTCGCTTACGATATTTATTATGATTAAAAAAAAAAAGTTACATGATATATTATAATAACATGACCACTAGCTAAAATAATCATGGTACAATAAATGAACGGGAAGACCGATTTTTTCCTCAATGTTCATCATGTTATAGACTAAAAAAGAAACGATTATGATCGGGGACACTGCAAAGAACGCCTTCAAAAGTTAAAAATACTTTTATCAAGCGACAAAAAATTACCATTGTTCAAACAAAGAAGTATGACTGACTTTTCAAAATAACTTTTATAACAGTATTAAAATATGCAATAATATTGATTAACATTCGCATTTTTAAATTCTTTAATTTTGTTTTAATAATATGTAATGTATGGGTAGTTATAAATCTATAATATTTTTAAAGACTAAATGTACTTTTTTTTCACAAGACAGCACTCTTTTTTGAGGCGTTGTCTTTAATAAATAATAAGTGTTAAGAACAAGAAATTGTGCTCACTTTTAGAAAATACTACCTACTAATAATACACAGTAATGATTTTCTATGGTTTGATTACCTATAGGTATTAATTTATATTTTATTGTTCTACTAAACCGAATAATATGAAATGTAATTAAAATTAAATATACACATAAGAATCATATAAATAAATTCTTGTAAATAAAGTTTTAATTTTTTAATAATCATACATAAAAAAATTCATTATATTTTAAATACCTAATTAAGTTTTAAATTATTTTGATTAAAAAATATAAGCACAACTCAAAAAGTGACATAATATTAAAATTATAATGTAAAATGATCAGTTTTTATAGTTAATAATATTTTTTAAATAATAATAGAGTGATAAAATAATAAATAAACAATTTATTTAGATAGAATGATTCATGGACAAAATAGATAGAATAATATATATATTAGCTAATTATCTTAAAAGACAGGTTTTTATGATAAGGCTGGAATCCGATTGAGCATGATTGACCTTTTTCATATTCCGATCGAGCACAATTGTTTGATAACAATAGAAGCCCAAAAAAACCTTCAATAACAATACGATTGATCACGAAAATAGATGCGACGTCACCACGTTGTACCATAGAATATTAAATAAAATACATTTAAACATAAATATTTAGCGTTTGCTGGATCAGTGAAGTAACCCCACTCATACTTAAAAAAGTAAAAATTTGCAAAATACACACTTTTTTTGAAAGAAAACAAGAGCGAGCAACAGAACAGGCTGACTGTAACCATGTCTTATCTACAGCGCAGGTATATACAATTAACAGTAAAGTTTATTACAATTTAGTGCAATCGTTGTAGATAAAAATTCTAGTTTCCTATCTATCCCAGTTACTTTTAACTTCCGTAGGTGTTTTTCGGCTAATATGTTAGTTACCTATTAGTAATCTACACAATATACGATCTAGTAAAAATCTGTCTACGTTGTACCTTAGTACCTACACAATACTTATTTTTTTTCTATCATGCTCAATCGGATATAAAATAAAATAAATCAATTTCGTTATAAATAATTTATCCCTCAAACCAATTTAATTTTTGCAGAGCCGTAGGTAGGGCTTGGCGAGACTGACCTAGGGCATCCCTGCCCCCCCCCCCCCCCCTCCCAAAAAAAAGGAACATAGAAGCCAAAATAAAATATGCCTATATTATTATTAATATATATCATTTATTTAGATTATGTGCAAATTGTTATTCTATATTTTAATATAAATCATGAATATAGGGTAATTTTAGGCTATTCAAGATAGATAGCGTTTAATAATAAGTAATATAAATTATATATTTATTAAACAAATATTTGAAATATTACAAAATGCTTACGATATAAAATATATGACGTTATAATATTACATCGAATGGTAGTAATAGTTTTGAAAATTATTTGTAATATAAGCCACATTTCTGTTAAGACTAAATATTAGCCTCGTATAAACGCATTAGAAAAAAAGATCCTAAGGCATCAAGTTCCGGGCCTTACTAATAAATAAAACATGGATAAAATAACTAAATTTAAAATTTTTTTTGAAAATTTGTATTATTGACTTTTGACAAAACGCATTAATTGAGTTTGAGTTAGCTTCATTTAAAATACGGAACATAAATATTAAATGTTCCTTTAACTACATTATTTTGTATATAATTTTTTTATAATTATTATGACTAGTCGTTGCACTTGTTATAATATTATAAATACTATAATTATTAATTTGCTTTATAATTTTATATTTATGTTAAAATTATTAATATTTAAAACCTTATTTGCATATCCTACAGTTACTGGTTAATCTTATTTTCGCTTTTATAGTTTTATGTAAATAATATTAATATCAATGATACTATTTATGTAAAGTGTATCAAATATAAAAATATAATTGTAAAAACAAAACATTATGATTCCCTACATTATATTAAAATATTTAGACATTTTACACTTTCAGAACACTTCTTTTAGTCAAACAGATTAATTCACATTTTAATTTAACAATAATTATCGTATAAATATATTTGTAAATTAAAGTTACAATTTTTAAATTAAGGTTTTTTATCAAAAAAATAATTTTTTGCGGAGTAGTAGATATTTTTATTTAGCAACATCATCAGTACCCACATTTTTTTTTTTTTTTTTATTGAAAATAAATTTACTAATTTCATTGAAAATAGTTCAACAATTTGAAAATCGGATAAAATTAAAAAGTATTCATTCACTAAACACGGATGCGATCACTGTGCAGGACACTGCGATCGGTACCACGATTATTATTTAAACGACTTAGCACGTTCGACATTATCTTGAATTCTTGAGACGTATTGAGGAAGATAAGTATTTTGAAAATAAAGGAACACTTTACTTTAAAAGTATAAAAAATATATATTTTATTAAATACAACTTTAAAACAATTAAAAAGAATCTAAAACTCACTGCCGTAAGCTTGTTGTACATAAGTCTACAGTTACCTACTACCTTCTCTACTAATGTTAGGTGCTCTATCCGTATTTATGGGTCTTGTCAATGACATATGGTGGCGTGATGATCCTATATCCTAATCTTTAATGTGTTTTCATGAATATAGTGAAAACAACTTGTTATTTTCACCTCTTGATCCAGGCTTTACCTATTCCTCGTAAAACTATTGTAGTGATCATTATTACGCCTAGCCTGCATTATTTGTGGACCTTAATTACTTAATACATAATATGTATTAATAATATATACATAATATACATATTATTATATTATAATAATATGTATATAATAACAATACATATAACAAATTATTATATAACTTGTCGTTTTCACCTTATGATCTAGGATTTACCTATTTTCCGTAAAACTATCAATACCTACATTAGTTGTTAGCATAAATTATACTTTATGTATAATTTATTATATTTTATTATTTTATACTAAAGAGAATAATTACTTGGGATTTTGGCTTTACTACATCGTTTTTTTTTTTGTTTTTTTTATTGTGTGAAAATGCAAAATTATTTATTGTTAAAATATTAAAAAATAAATATTTGCATTAAAATATTTGAAAATATGTAAAATAAAATAGTTTTACTCGTATTAATGCTAGGTGATATAAAACGTGCTTATTTTTTATTATAATTAAGAAATCTTCACTAAATAAAATATGAATTTACATAAAAATTCACGTCATAATATGACTATACGATTATCTATCCAGTAGGTACCTACTACCTACAAAATATACTTTTATTATTTTGATAGGTGTACATAACTAAATTCTATAGAGCTAAAATTCACACACATCTGAGAAGTAAATTCCTCTTAGACATGTACTCATTATTATTTGTTTGTAAAATTGTAAATTAATGATTTATAATTTGTCATTAGAAGTAAAGCCAATAAAGGTATCTACTATCTAATACCTACTAAGTACAATCTAAGTTTTCATAACTTTGGAAGTAGAAAATCATGATTATGATTTAAATAATGTACACGAAAACGTCATGATGACTACACTGGTTTGCCTTATCATAGATTGTTCGTCACTCGCTGTTCTTTTATAGTTTTGCCCGCCAAAACAGCGTTATGATAACAATAGTAAATACGATATCAATAACTATTATTCACGTAACTGGATTATTTCAATACTTTATTAAAACTCAATTTGCATCTTGCAAATATTTCGAATTTCAATACGATGGCCGATTAACGGTAAATTTAATATTTAACACGTAGTGCACATTATCCGCGTAGTTTGTGTATTTAACTGATGTCAACATTTCCAAATTATTGAATTCCAACAATATCGGTTTTCTATAAATTGAATTGTAACTTGTAGTCTAGAATTATGGTAAGCATACATACAGTCGATTTTATGTTATTGTATACGTGACAAAATAGTTTAACTATTCGTTTTTGTTTGGTTTCTATACAAATCTTCCATAGCATTGTGTTTGAGTGCAATATAAAATTCAAAATATATATGATATTTTTTATTTCCCTTATATAATGTTATGATACACATATTGTAAGATATGTTAACTATTATCGATAGTATTTCAGATACCTACTAATTTGTCTTGAATTGTTTTGTAGTCAAATGTTAAAACAACTGAGTATTGATACTAATCTGTACCGACTACTTAAAGAATAGGTATACTATCATTAATACTGATTGTCCAAAAGTCACATTATAGTTTGTTTTGTGTCAGAACCTTCTTTTAATTTCTAATAAAAATTATGTACATTGATGTAAGGTTTTAAAATTAAATATGACAGTAACTTAAGTTGTTAAAAAATAATTTATTTTTGTGGACTTATAATTTAATATTCATTAACAGGATGCTATATTCATACTTAATAATTTTTGTCTTGATCTTACAAGTGTGTAATAACAAACTTTATTCATGTAAAATCTTAATAGTCTGAATAGTTTAATGAATTTACATATGTTTTTAACATTAAATTTGATAAAAGATTAAATCACTCATACTAAAATTAACAATTCTATGTGTAAACTATTAACTATAAATTTTCAATTTATTTTAATTTTTACCTTTTCTTAATTTATATTTTACGCTTAAATTTACATTTGATTTTTAGAAGTCATCAAATAATAGTAAAAAAACAAATATAGATGATATAAGCAGAGAAACTCAACGACTAATCAGTGATAGTCATGTACGCTTACCATATCATAAACCAAAACAAAAGTCATTAAAAGACTTTCTTAATAGACAAAAAATATCAACTCAGTATCAACCATCTTTAACGGGTTCCAAAAAATTACTTCACAAAGCATGGTAAGTAAAATTAAAAATGTATGATTCAATGAATAATTAGTGCTTAAATTATAGAATGTAATTTTTACATTAGACTTAAAGTATTTAAAGATATTTACTTTTATTAGTTTTAGAATGTAATAAAATTTAATATGGTGTTTGGAAATGAATGTTTTTTTAACTATTCCTGACCACGTGCAATTGTCTGGTTGTTTGGTACTATATGAATTATAATTATTGTTGGAAGCTGTTGTTAAATTTCAAAATGTAATTTTTAATTATTGATAAATTACATAGATGTAACAAAATGATACATAATTGTGGCGATTTTTATTCAACTAAAAATTTTTTTTTTTGTGTGTGTGTAAATTATAAAATTATAAATTTAAAAGTTTTTTAGAAATTACTGTTTATTAGTTAAACTTCATTAATTTTATGTAAATTTCATCTTATTTTTTTGATGAGGCTAGAATTAATAACATTTTTAATTTTAATGTGAAATATAATTTTATAATCATATCTATGATCTTTACAAGTTACAATTAAATTATCTTTACACAATAAATATATTAGCAAATAACTTATTTTGTTATTCATCATTTATTTATAAATATAAATTTAGGGAATTGATAGAAAGTAAAGAACAAACTGTAGAAAAATTTTACAATGAAGACAGTGTTCAAGAAGAAAACAATGACAAAGCATCTTTGAATAATAGTAATTCTCAAGCAGAAAATCATTTTTCTTTAAATGATAACAACTTTGATAAAGGTTTGAAATTAAATATTATTATTAATAATAAACTAACTATATGGTATATTTAATTTAATTCATCGTTTAAATTAAAACTAAAAGTTATCTATAATAGCTTTTCTTAAACTGTGGTTTGTGGAGATCATTTCAGGGTTCCTAGGAGCTTAAGTAATTTTTTCAAAATTTTCAAGAAAATTGTGTTAAAATATCTAACTTAGTAGTGGCTAATGGGAGGAAACAATTTTCATCAATAAAGCCTGACATTAAGAATATTAATTGTAATAATAAAAAGCAATACCACTTATCTTATTAAATTTAAAATGTAGTCTAATTAAATATTAAATCATTATAATACAATTATTATTATTTTTATTTTTATTTTAATATATTTTTTGAATTAAATATTTGTTACAGTATGAAATAATTATAATTTTCACTGTAAATAAAAGTAAATAATCCTAAAAAAAGTAGAGGTTCCACAGATAAAAAAGTTAAAGAAACGCTGATCTATTAAATAATACCCTACCTATCTGCCTATTGCATGTACCTATTGCCTATATGCGATGTTAATATTGTAATAGTATTTTATTTGTTGTATTAAACAGAATGTACTCTTAATGAAAACCATAATAATAGTTTATCTGAATTTAATGATGATGAAGAAAATTATGACGACAACTCAGTTGTAGCTAGTGAATTATCATCTGATGATGAAGCAATTAATAATAGTGAAGATGAATCAATTGATGATAATAAAGCAATTGGCGATGATAAAAATGAAGCGAACGATGATGATGAAAATGAAGGAACTGATGATGATGATGATGATGATGATGAAAATAACTTCAGGCAAGGGAAAAATTTGTGTTCTGAAGAACCTTTCATTGAAGATGATAAATCAGAGGAAGGTATAAAATGTTAAAATTGTTGATTTAATATTAATTTGTAATTTTTTGTTATTTTAGGAAGGTATGTGACAAATTAAAAATTATTAGAATATAAAAAGTAAGTTATTTTTTAACCTTTATAATATTATAGACTCCGAAGATGAATTAAAAAAGAATATTGTTAAAACATTCATTGATGATGAAGCTGAATTGTCTGAATTAGATTGTAGTTCAGGCGATGAAGATAATTTTCCTAGTTTTATCAATGAATCAGGAGATGAAGAAGGTAATATAGTTGATTTAAAAATTTTTAATTTTTAGCAATATTGTTTCGTTTTGTAAAACAGTACTTATATTTCTTCCTTTAGACCGTGATATTGAATTTCCTAAAAAAAAGAAACATAGAGCAATTTTGTTATCAGAAAGCAGTGATGATGAAATGAACTGTACAAATGAAAATGATTCAAATACAGAAATTAATTTAATATCAAATAATTCATCACCTTTATTTAACGAGTCTGAACCTATTGTATCTACACAACAACTATTGGGTTTATGTTCTGGACAATTTCAATCCCAATCCCAACAATTGGATGCTAAGGTTTCATACTTACCTTTTATTTTATTTATGTCATTAGCTAATTATAAATTGTATTTGTATTTATAGGAAGATAATGAAGAAGTAGATGATTTTGAAGATAATTTTGATTCTGAAGTGTAAATTAAATAATTATAAATTATTTTTTAAGTATAGTTTGTGAGTAATATATATTGTTTTAGTCCAATAAATGATGCTGACATCACAAATGAAGATGACGCTGATGATGATGATGTATCTCTCAAACTAGTTTCAGCTAAAGATTATTTTGACGATGAAGCAGAATTATCTGAATCAGACTGGAGTTCTGATGATGAAGACAAATTAGTTGGTTTGAATGACAAATTAGAAGAAGAAGAAGGTGACAAAGATAAGCTAGATGAAAGTCTTGTTAAGGATGGATTAGACAAGATATATATGTATGTTTACAAATATATTTTTAAATCTAATTATCATTTGGCTTAAATTATTTTTCTTAAACTAAACTTAGGCGGCAGCTTTTGGACGATGATAACCAGCAAGTAACTGCACTCAAAGAAATGCTTCTTGAAGATGGAGAATTGTATTCAGATTCTAACCGAAAAAGAAAATTTCAATGGGATGATGCTGGTTAGATTTCAATTTATAAATGCAATTCCTTTACATATAATATAATTTGATTCCTACATAGATCAAGATGATGCTGCTTTTAAGAAACCTTTGTTTTCTGACAATGAAGATGATAATGAAGATGACGTATTAAGTGATGACGAAAAAACAGAACAGTGGAGAAAAGAACGTTTTAAACGTGAATCTTATTTATCAGAAGTAACTATTAATATTTACATAATTCATAACGATGATTTAACATATTCAAATGTATATGCAATGTAAAATATTAGATCTACCCAATACAATTTATATATTATATAGATTTGTTAAATGTAATAGTTCTGTTTAAATTTTTACAATTTTACTTTGAAAAATAATATTATGTATTATTAGCAAAATCAATGACATGCCTTAATAAAAAATAAATAAATATTGATGAGTAAATTTATAATATATATTTAACTTTTTTTCCAGAAAAATAAATATTCTGATGAGGAAAGCAATGAAGACGAAGAATCGAGTAATATTTTACAAACGTCTGTATCAGTTGTGAAAAAAACCCATGTTGTATGTATTGTATTCTTTTATCATATTTTATACGAGATAAGCCACCATATTTCCAAGTTATTTAGTTATGTGGCCTATCTTATACATGATTAAGTTAATCAATCAAATATATATATATATATATATATATTTTTTTTTAATTTTATTATCTCAGGTTAAGTATCTAAATGGCAAAAATAGATTAATATCAAAAACATTTGATGATGAAAAAAGTAATGAATCAACACAGTTAAATGAACATGATGAAACTGATCCAAATAGCCAAAATTTAAGTACCAACTCTACCATTACAATTGAAACAAATAAAATTAAAACCAATGATTTTGTTGATCCCCAAGTTGTAAATATAATTTCATCAAAAGTAAGATCTATTTATTAGTTAAAATCTTAAGTTAAATTAAAATGATACAATATGAATACTTGGTCTATTATTTAATAATTAGTAACAGTATTTGTTTTTTTATAAATCATTAATATTTTACAGCATAATAAATGTATAAAAGGATCATTTATGAAACGTAATGGTGACAAGTTAACTAATACATTGCTGTTTGTAAATAAAAAAATAACTAATAACGATGGAACAAATCCTAAAAAATATGAAGAAAAGAATGATATAAAGTCATTAAATACAATCACAGCTACTGCTACTAGTAATCCATTTGCATATTTAATGAGAAATGACAAAAAATATGAAAATGATGGTGATTTAATGGTCTGTATTATTTATTTAGGGTTCTTTCATTATTTTATTTATTATATATTTTTGTTTATCTAGTTAATATAACAGTGGCATATTTACAAGGATGATATGAAAAATAGATTCCTTGTTAATCTTTTTTTTTTTTTTTTTTTTATCCTGATTTGGGTATAATATTGTATATTTTACAGTGGTAATATATTTTAGAAATACAGAATAAAATTATCAAAAATGGTACTCTATATTATAATGTTAAATATTGACATATTAAGCATTTAAAATATTATTATCAATTTCAGTTGTTTCTTACACTGCTTAGTGCTAAATATGATTAAAATTTTGTGTCATAAAATATCGTCAAATATCATTATTGTCAATAACCATATTTTAATATAAGTATTTGGTTGGTATTTTAGGTTATAGCTCATAAATCCATGTACATGATAAACATTATATAATCTTAATAGGTATTAACAGGTATATTTTAAGTAATAGCAAATATTGTTTTATACAAATATATATTTTTGTTTGAAATTCTAAATAATTACAATCATGCAATAGAATACAGGTAGAAATAAAATTAAAGCATTAAAAAATTAATTATTTTTATCATTGATTTTTTGTATTATTTTTTTTTTTCATTTCTGCATAACTTATTACTCTTTATAATAGCAAATTCACACTAGTGCACTACTCAAATGATTGTCATTAACTTATATTTAATGTTTGACTGAAGACTTAGAGTACCTACAAACTTTTACTGTAATTTTTGTTTAAATTTAATAATTGATTGATTTAATGGTTTAATTAATGTTAATTTATGTGTACATGGTAGATCATAAATATTTTATACTACTAGCACCTTACATAAAAATGTGTGTATTATCTTTGTTACCATTTTTTATTTAAAGAAAACAATTTGCGATGGTTATATAATTTTAAAAATCTCTCCTTACAAAATTTTAAATATGCCTCTGACATTGCATACTAAAAAATATATTTATGCTGGGCTTATTTTTCCCACTATTACATGTAAAAAAATAGTTTATCATGTATTGTAATATAAATAATGTTGTATAGTAGACCTTATTCTTTTTTGTTAGAAGTCTATCATTCATTTAAATGCATTTCTTTTTGATTAGTTAGCATTAACTTAATTGTGAAAATGTTCAGTACATATAATATTTTACTTCATCTCGATTTAGGTGCTTTTTATAGTTACTGTTTTAATTTGTTGGCCAATTTATTCTGCTTCAACGGTTGCTCTATTTGGTATGTGTTAATGTGCCCATTTGTTACATTTAAAAATAACCAAATTTTTCAAACTACTGTTTGCTATATATCTTGCATTACAGGTTATTTAGTTTAACGGATAATATTGTTAACAAAATCCATTATTTAAAAGTAACGATTTGTTCTTTTTTAGGTATAATATTTTTTGGGTTATGTCTTGGCTCCATATTTAATTTGGTAGTTATTAAATTAAAAATATTGTTTTTAAAGAAATAAAATTTAATCAAGAATAATATTTTAAAATGAAATGAGCCCTATCAATTAAATCTTTTTGTTAAAATTGTGGTAATTAAAAATTGGCTTAATAATATATTTTTAAATTACGTGGATTGGACTAAATATTATCTGAATCTCATGAATCGGACCAAAATATTAGTTAATAATGTGTTTTTATACATTTTCAAAATTATTTTTTTTTTTACTTTTCAGAAAATAGAAAAAACAGATACTACTATCAATCTTAATAAAACATGTATTAGTGTTAAAACAACTTCATACCTTCGTTCAGAAGAAAATCAGCAAACAGTCAAACTCAACAAATCATCGCATAGTATCTTGAAACAATTTGATTAATAAATCTGTAGATTACCTTTCTGTTTTTAAACAGTAGTAAGTTTATGATGGTGTTTTCATCTTAAGTTTTGTATGTGATCATGTTTATTCATGTTTTTATTATTTCAAGATAATTTAAAATGTATTATACTATATTAATTTTTTTTTACTTAAATAAATCATTAGGTATATTAACCTAATTTATAATAATACCTTATATAATTTATAAATTACAACTATTTATATTAATAAAATTGAAATTTTGTTATTTTTAATTGATAATATATTTGTCTGTGTGGGTTTGGAATTATCAAATTTCAACTTAACTGTTAGTTGAACCAAGTATATGTTGCAATAATAATTTCAAATTGTTAAAATGTTAGTTTTTCACACAGGATATAATTACCTCAATAGTGTACATAATAAAACAACTGTATTTAATTTAAAATTATAATCATAATTATTTTAGCAAAACTACAAATAACAGTTTGTCAAATTAACAATATAAACAGTTTTAAGTATATATAATACTAAAATATATTGTTGTAAAATTTTATTCTCTTTATAAGTCTTCCTTATTTTAGCTAAACAATTTAATAACAATTAATAACTGTTACTGATCCCAAATTAAATTTTTTTATACCAACTATAAAAATTTAATTGGTAAAAAAAATAAATTATTTGGAACAGGACTAAACAAATGCTGGTAACAAATATTTTTTATTCATACACAAGGGATTCTTTGAAAACTAATTTATACCAATGGCCACAGAAACAACGTTTTGGTTCTCCTGAATGTAGCCACATCCATTTGACATGAGATGAGTCTTCTTCACATACGCAACCAATAATTCTTGCTTCAAAGGCAGATGGAATTAAAGTGGGTTGATCACAAGTACTCGCACCGCGTTTAATAGCTTTCAAATTGTATGGATCCTATAAAAGAATATTAATAATATTATGGTATACATAATTCATAATGTATGACAGTAGATTTTTTAAGGATATTATTAAACAATAAAATCAATAAAAAACAAAAACAAATTACATTTTTTTTACTATGAATTAAAATTAATTAATACATTTTAATGAAATTATTCTTTTTAATATATAGAAGTAGACAGTTAATATTACACTTAAAAAATGAATAAATACATTGTTACTATTTAAATTATTTAAAATTTGTGTTTAAAAACATTCATTTTGATTAAAAAGTGCATTTTCTGAACAATCCTTTTCTGAAAATAAATTGCTTTTTAGAAAAGAAAAACACTTTTTTCAAAAAATCAAACACTCAATTCATTTTTTAAGTACTTTTGACCAAGTTGTAAATTAAAAATAATTGTTAATAATTTCAACTTAATAATGTATCATCTACTTTAAACAATTTTAATAGACAAACATGTAATTTTGTATTTTTTCTTTTCCCGACATTTAAAATTTTTAACTATAGATAGATATTTTTAAGAGTCGATAGAATTTTAAGTAAAATTTTTAAGTTAAACATTTTTTTTAGTTAAGATAATATATAATAAAATGACTAAAATAAAGAACATATTTAAAAAAACTTACATCATTCCCAGCTAGACGCAAAAGCATTTCTTTCTTTTCAATACCAGTAGCTAAATCCAAAGGATCAGGAAATCCTATAAAAATATACCAAATCCATGATTAATGTATTATTTTTATTATTTTAGTAATTTAAAATTAAATATGTTTATTAAACTAAATAAAATTATACTTTATTTATCTAGTTGTATTATATGATTTAGAGTTACTTTTCATAGTTTCATACAATCATACCATACACATGACAAAAAAGGATCTAATTAATTTACTATTCATGGTCATATATTAAATAGTATAATTTTTTACCAATAATTATATAACTAACTAGGTATATATCTTGTGAGTGCTGTGTCAATACTATGTTTATTCTAATTTCATATGTTTATTGTATATTTACATTTATTCTATTTCTATATTGGCACATGAATCACAGATTTAAAATCTACACTTTGTGTCAAAAACTTAAGAGTTTTGTAACCTTTAACCTAAGTAAAGTTTACCTAAATTTTTAATTACTTGAGTTAACTGCATCATAATTGTATTGAATTATTATGAGATGACTCTCATTAAAATGCTAAAATTTTCACCAACAATCAACAAACCAATAATATCTCTCCAGAGAACACCTATTAAAATTACTATTCGTAACTCCATCTCAAAATCTTTGTTCTGTGAGATAATAATATGTCTATACAAAAAAGTTATAATGACCTCTATTTCCAAATTGATTAAAAACTATTAAGCTACAACATGGTTCAATATCAATTATCAATGCTTCTAAAATTGTTTGCAACACAAAAACTTATTGTAATCATATTTTTGTATTAAATTCAATGAATCTAATCTGACTGAAAAAAACTTTAAATTAAAATACCAATGTAAATCTACAATAAAAACTAAGACAACCCAAAATTTATATTTAACTATAGCAATCAACCGAATTCTGGAAAATATTAAATTGCACCAATAATGCCTTTCAACTTAAAATACTTCAAACCATATGTCAAAAGCTACTATGACTTGTTCAATACATCAATTTGTTTTATTTATAAATTAATTCAAGTCAATTATAAACTCACAAACCTACTATACACTTAAATTTTATCGTATTACTCAATTTCTTAATACTTAGAACATAAATAAACAGTCTTCCCAAAAATATAACTAACCATTAGTCTTAACAGTGTTATATCCTTTCCAAATTAATAAAACCTACCACTTAGTACAAGACACAAATTGCATAAAGATTTATTGGCCTAATTACTAATAAGTAGTATAATACATTTTTCATGTTATGTTTCATTTTTTATCAATTTTATTTCATTATGAGTATGAATTGTAAATTGTCTTTTTTTGTTGTAAAAAAAAATAAAAAAAATATTACCTACCTAAATATGTTTATTTTAAATGTGTTCATTTTAATTATGTAATTATTATACATGTATATTCTATATTAAGCCAGGTAGAAACCTATCATTCAAAATTATATACAATTTCAAGTTTTTTAGATAAACCACTACATGGTTGAAATATTGTTATTATATAACTTACTCAACCGTCTCAACCTTAGCAGTAATAAAAATTAAATTCATTAATATCTTATCTAAACAGTATTGATTACATTTCAGTTGACCTTAACATAGTTAATAAAAGTATATTATATTAAATTATAACATACATGTATACATATATAAAAAAAAAGATTTGATTCATTGGTTACAACAAATCAAATGTTCAATAATTATTTTTGACACTTAACAGACTGATGAAAAAGGCTACCGACATCATATAATAGTTTTCAAAATAAAAAATTTGAAACAATATCAAGATTCATAGCTATAATAATTGCTATTATAAAATCGATAAAAATTTATAATACGGCGTATTTTAAACACTAGGACTAAAAATGAAAAATAAAAAATGTATATTTTTAAATACTCACCTTCATCCTTGACTTTGGTGAATTTTGCGGCCGAGACAGAAAACATTCTACTTGAATTCTTAAAAATGATCTTCGAGCTCAAGGCTAAGAGTTTGGAATTCATTTTTGAGCTACAGCAGAATATAATTTTAAATGAATGGACGGATACGAAGATAGGTAATAGTCGCAATTGGCAAACGCAATTCAAAGAATGATGAAAAGAATAAAAATCAAAAAGTACCGATTACTGAAGATGGTGAAAAAAAAAATAAAAATTGAAAAGCAGGCGATGCGTTATCAGCAGTCCACAGAACTAGTAAAACATCAGCACATCAGCAGGGCACACGATTGATAAGAGTATCACATGTTTCGTCGCGGCGGGTGATTAGAAATTAAAATAATTTAAGAAAGTAAATATTTTTTAATTAGGTATATATATATTAATAATTACTGTAAAAACTTATCCTTCTCGTACATAGTATTTTATTATTAATCAAATTTAGTTTATTAATTTCATAATTTCGCGTCAGATTTGTGAACAGCAATTACGAACATTTGAAGTTTTACTCCGAACTCCGTGATACGAAATCTCCTATAAACATTTAGACGTTTAGTTGACACGTAAACTTCTTTGTTGTCAAACTTGTCAAAAGTTTCAAAATGAAGAATAATTAATGTAAGTTCGGGTCTTTCAATATTACATAACATAGAGCAAGTCATTAATTATTAATAATATCTTTATTATTCTAAGGTTCATTTCCCATGGATGAATATTGTTAAAATAAATTACATTATATTATTTTAATTGTTGATATTATTATTATAAAAATATCTACCAACGAAATAGTTAGTTATTCTTGCAAAATATTCTATGCGTTTAACCCATTAGTAGACACAGAAAAAAGTGTAAATTTATTGTTACCAAATTTTCAGAGCTTGTTCTTATTTTGCTTAGAATGATTGGAAAAATATTTGAATTTTTTTTTTTTATTCTAAGTATTTAAAATGATAAATATTTTATATTATTATCCCATCATTTTTATTTATATTTTCAATTAATTTTTATTACCATGCAAACAGATTAATGTAGATGTTCAGATTTTTTAATGTAAACATAAATTATTTTTTTATTTTTATCCACTAAATATTGTATTTATATTTTTTTTATTAAAAAAGACATATTTTGCGTAGGTTTGATATATTGTAAGGCAACTGCAGGATGTGTTTTGGCACCGTTATTTTTTTCGTGTCTTTGGTCTATCATCAAATTTACTAATAGGTATTTAGACTATCTATAAGTCATAAAAATTGTAATACGTAGGTATATTATGAAAACCATAATGCATATAATATACGTATAATATGTAGGAATGTAATATATATTTATTATTTATAAACGTATAAAAAATGCTAGTAGGTACCAATTTCAAACTTTGAATGTATTTAATTAATTATAATAATATTTAAAATATATAATCAGTGGTGTATTAAGAGCTTTTTAGTCTATAGGCACTTTCCAATCTACCGTCTCTCCCTTTCCATTCCTTCTAAAATTATTAATAAAATATATTTAAATACACAATTTGTTAATTAGTATTTTATACAAAACAAAGATATGTTATTAATTATTACTTATTAATGAACATTAAATTACACGTAATGTATTTTTTTTTTTTTTGCAATTTACAAATTAATTGTAGGTACGTAAAACATTTTTTTTTCTACTTTTTCTTCAACAAATGAATCAATTAAATCATCACAATTTAAATTTGACAGTAAATATGTTTCGATATTCAATATTGCCAAACTATTGAATTATTCAGGACCCATAATCGATCTTAATAATTTTTAATTCGTTCAAAACACGAAAAAAAAGTTTAGTAGTACAGTTAGAAATTGGTATACAAATATATATTATAAATATTACATCTATATTAGGATACACGTTAGTAAGGTAATCTTCTAGTAATAATTTACACATCTATAAAGAAGAAATGTAATTAATTTGTTAATTTGAAGATTTTAAAATGTATGCATTCTGTTAAAAATGCTCTTTCAATATTATCTGAGTAACATTCTTGTAACTTATTGGCATGTTATATTATTTCCGAGATACTTTTAGAAATAAGCTTGTAGAGTACGATAAATTTAGAGTAGTAGAAATAATAGCCTGTCACCATCAAAATGTTTATATTTTAAACTTTTCGTGATCATTCATTTATGTATTATTATTGTTTTTTCATTATAAAATAATTTCCTCTTCTTTAGACTGGACTTTAAATCTTGATATAATTCAACTCCTTACATAGCAATTTGCTTTTTTTTAAATAGTCAAATATATTCCGTTTTTTTTTTTTTTTGAATAAAATTAGTAAGCGATGCATATAACCATAGGCGTAGAATGGTCAAATTTTTTGGGCAGGGCTGTAGCCTTTCTAGGGGTAGACATATATCGAATCGTGGAGGGCTTCGTCTGTATTTGAGGGGACTATTTTTCGAAAACTGGGGGAAAGGGCTCCCCAAGCTCCTCTTACTTTAAAGCAGTACCAAAATCTATTGCGGTATCTATTGTAAAATCTTGTAAGTTATTTTTAACTGTTCTAATATTAAATATAGTAATACAAATGTCCAAAAAACAGTTAAAAATGCAGTTTATAAGAATTGTAGACTTATACAAAGACCTTTGGCTTCGTTTCTAGTAATGCATTTTTTTTTTTCATTAATTTTAATATGTGAAAATGAGTTTATTATTTCTGACCATGATGCATTTAAATTAAAGCTTTACATGTATCCGCACGAAGCGATCATTGAAACTTTAGTTATTGATAAAGATTAAGTGTAGAGATAAGCTGAGGGGTTCAATTCTTTTATTCGGACCTGTAAAATTTTGTAAAATAAAAATTGTTGAAAGTCAGTGCCCTCCTCCAAAGGCCGTCGCTCTAGGCCCGTGCCTACAGACCAGCTGTACCTAATACTCCTTTGATAATTCAAATATAATATAAATTTTTAAACAATTCAGCCAAATGCATGTATAAAATAAATATAATTACCATGACGAATAAAAAGTGATATGACAATAAAAACGAATTGGTCTGCTTAAATTTTGGTACCCATATTAAAAAAAACTTAAATAATGTATAAATTAAAGCTGCTAAAGATTCCGAGTACGCACAACCGTGATTATAAATTTTCTTGTATACAAGGAATAATATTACAATAATATATAATTTAATTCATACGGCTTTATGGTTATTATAATATCTATTAATAGTTGGCTTAATTATAGTTTACCTGCTGTCAGTTACTTTTATCACTCAATATCACCTCCACAGTATATTAATTATAATATGAACTATGCACAATAATTTTACGCCTAAATTTCAAACACGTTTTCGTATTAACGCATTTCAAATCGCAAATTGTGCAATTGATTTCCTTGTACCCATCGTACCGAATCTCTTAGTCGATGATATATCTCTGTTGATACTCACTTGTACTTGTAATAATAATATATTATACTATGAATATAACATATTATTATTACAAACGTGATATATGGCGGTAATACACAAGTATTGTACACGAAAAACTAAATAGTCTTAATTTAGACCATTCTAATCATTTTTTTTTTTACATTTATATTTTTATTGTTTTGTACTTAAGTTGACGAAAAAATATTTCTAAAACGCGTTTAAAAAAGTTTGTATTATTATTTCGAGAATTCCATTTGTTATGCTTTTATATCAATTTTAAAAAATGGAAAACAAATCATTAAAAAAGTCTAGCTCATAAAAAAACACGTTTGTTACAAGAACGATAAACTTAATGTAATCAGTAAATTAATTATTATAATGCTCTCTCGAATGATGTAAAAATACAATTAATATTCAATTTCCAACTATCGAGTTTTATCGGACAATTAGCAGAGTCCTTCATCGAAACCATCTAGGCGACGGACGGCGTCTTTATATCGACTACGTAAGACATCATCACTTCTATAATATTTGATATTAAAATGTTAAATCTGATTAACGATTCTGCAAAATCGTTACCACGTCCAGTTCAATCTGGTTTTTTGCCCCGTCAAAATCTATATAAAACTAGATGGCATCTTGATCTCAACTCCTGCAGAGGTTATCATTGCATTATCAACACTGTCGAAAAATAAAATGTCATTAATTTGTCACAATGAGTGTGGTCTGACTATCTGCAGAGTAAATTAAAATCTGCATCAAGACCGCGGATAGCGCCTTGATCTTGTTTCTTCCTGAAGTGATCAATACTCGACATAGATGTGTAAAGCTTCGTTAAAAGACCACGTATGACGTGATTATAAGTAAGTTTTAATATTTTACAATAAAAATATATGTACATTTTAAAAATTATATTAAAATAAGTTTAAATAACTATGAAAACGTTTACTGCCGAAATAAATATTATATAATATTTTAACATTAATTGATCATTTTTATGGCGATGATATTTTTATAGTTTTTGAGTTAGAAATAAATTGTAATTAAAATATGAAAAATAAAACCAGATAAAAATTAAAGCCAAATATAACGTATAACAATGAAATTCAATAGGTTAATTTCAGACTATAAAAAAATAAATAATTATAATCAGTTAAAATTGATAAATATAATATTGTCTTAAATACTTATTTTTTTATTAATAAATTATTTAAAATACGTATAATGTGTCATTATACAGCCATGATAAATCATTTATAAACCTATTTTGGACAGAAGTGTGAGATTTTATAAAGATTAAAGAAAATATCTAACTTAAGTTAAAAGAAATAATAATTAATCGTATAGGTATTGAATAAAATGTTATTTATTGTTTATATATAATGCATTTTGTACAACAATAATATGAAAACACTGTATATACATTATACAGTAAATAATATTATGTAATTTTATTTTTAAGTTGAAAGATGCAATTTTTTGTTTGTTGTGTTCACAATTTATAATATTTTAAGTACAATAATATTCGACTAATTGAATTAAACACATCTCCTGACCTAACTGCAGTGACGTCAAATCAATCAAATATAATATTCGTACGCCATTATATATGTTAATCGCACATTTTACGTTTATACTCGTATTATTAATAATTAATAATTATTATCATTGCTCAGTAATTTTACATCCAGCAGAAAATCCGAGTACCTACTTAGATATTGTAAAGTATTAAATACTATTGGAATATTAGGTAAACGTCTCGAACAGATATAAAAGCCTAATACCTACGTATTTAACATTTTAGTTTAAATAAATCAATTT